TTAAAATGTGTTATTCATTCCAACATCATGGGTCAATTATTGCTACTTTTAACACAATTAATAATTTTTAAAAAAATCTCTGTTTTATTCTAGTGTGTGGTCCAAGGACCATCTGCCTCAGAGCTAGTTAGAAATGTAGACACTCAGCCACCCCCCGCCCCCAGTTCTATGACTCAGAAGCTCTGGAGGTAGGAGCCCGCAGTCAAGGTTTGACAACCCCTCTAGATGATGCTGATGTTCCCAGAAGCTTGAGAACCATTGCTCTACATTCCTTGTCATTTCCCCAGAGCAAGTGGGAACACTTGGCCTAGATTTCTGAACACAGCTCAGGAGGTTATGCACCTGTCTTAGTCCACTGGGCTGTTGAAACAAAGCATCAGAAACCAGGTGGACTAAAGAACAAAAATTCATTTTCTTGGAATCTGAGATCAAAGTGCCAGTGGGTTTCCTCTTTCCTGAGGTCTCTCTCCTGGGAGTGCAGGTGGCCCCTTCTTGCTGTGTCCTCACCTGCTTTCCTCTGTGCACCCTGAAAGATCTTCCTCCTGTTGTAATATAGTGTTTGCCTCCCAATCTGTGAGTTGTTGCTTAAGCTAGAAATTCTGGGCATATGTAAACCTTGATGTTTCATATGTAATTCCAAAAATCCTGCTTACTTTGGCTTTATTTTATCATAAAACAGATGGTTCTTTGTGCCTTGAAAAAGACAGACTGCAAAGAGTCATCTGAGTGGTTCTGAAATTACTACAATCTTGACCATTTTCAAACATGATCTCCATGGTGAACAATTTCCCAAGGAATTCTTACAATACAGAGTCTGTGCAGAAAATACTGATTTCAAAACTTCTGCACACAGGGCACAATGAAGAGGGAAGAAAGTGCACGACTTCGGGTAATTTAAGAAAAAGGCAACAGGAAATGTAAGACTACCCAAGTAGAAAAAATACAGTATGCTATGATTCAGAATAAATGAAGTGTAACTCTTCCGGGTCTAACACAGACCAGCTTGCCCTCGAGCACTGCAAATGATACCAGCTTCCAGTTGTATAAATATGCACAAGCCAAAGAGGACACGTGTAGAATGCACTTATCATCATCGCAGACAAGAGAGTTTCATTCATCTTTCGTCAATGATTTAGCTTCTGCAAATTTCTATCAGCCTTTATTCTCTTAAAACTATAAAAATTTTAGTCATTAATGAGCTGGTAAACATGCTACATACTTAATATTTATCAGTGCAGGATGTGGGTAGATTAGCCATTTAATAGCAATTCAAACAGTCTGGTAATCTAGGTGTTTAGGAATACAGATGAAGCCATGTTGCTGGATTTTATTGCAGGCTGTGTGCATGTGTGAACATGAGCCAGTGAAGGGAGGAATTCAGTACCCCCTTTATGGATTGATCAGTGCTATTTGCTATCAGATTCATTATTTGTGCTTTCCAAACTCTGCTCTGTATCGCATATGACTGACCCCTGCAGGCTATTTTCCAGGCTCATGTTTTGGGGGTCTACTAAGTAGGCTTGACCAATTAAAGATTGGAGGGTAGGAAGAAGAGAGAAGACAGGGTATTGCTCCTCTTCCTTTTCTGACAGTGATGTCATCACCTTCATGGCTCCATCATCCAATGTTCAATTCCAACATGACTCCATATTCACTGGTCGCCTTATGTCCCCCTAGCATAGGGGTGGTAGCACCTTATAACTAAGGCCAGTTTGTGGTTGCTTCACTGTCCCTGTTGAGTGTCTAGCCTTTGTGGTCAATTTCCTACATTAAATTCCTTCTGTTTTAATTAGTCGACTCTGTTTCTTAATGAATCCTGAATAATACTACTACTGATACATAGTTAAGTGTCAACTATTGAATCATCTTCCTTTCATTTTATATGGAGTACGATAAAAATAAAATGTACTGAACATTTTATAAATACCAGGCAAAAGTACTTAGTAAGTAACAAAGCAGAGAATAGCTACAGTTTTAGCCTCCAGCTTCTCTTGGTAGTAGCTGTGCCACACCCTACAGAGGTATCAGCACAAGCAGTCATTAATCTCCTATTGGTCCAAACACTGTACACTTGGTGCTCCCACCAGAAATGTAAGAACCAACTGGGCACTCCCTGAGAGGGTGATGGGGCTGCTTCCAAACCTTAGCTTCCAGGACCTCTCCCAGAGACATCACTTCTTCTCTCTGGCTTCTCTCTGGCCCTAGGAGTAGTAGCTGTAACCATTTGACTGATCTCAACATCTTGGCTTTCCAACATCTAGTAACTAACCTCCCATATTAAATCCCCTGTACTTGAAATATTACGTGTGGTTTATGTTTGTCTGACTGAACCTTCTTTGACTAATGCATAGGCTCTTTTACCTTAATTTCAGTAAGCGTCCAAGTGATTCTAAAAAATGGCCATTTTGTTTTTCCAGTCGGTTTATTTTTATATTTATTTCAACTATACTAAGTTTATGAACTACCATTATTAAAACTACTTTTCAGGGCCTCCCTGGTGGCACAGTGGGTTGAGCGCAGCGCTATGAAGCTCTTCCACAGCCTCTGTAGCGCTGGTTAGATTCCCGGTGGGCCAGGGAAATTCCTACAGGGTGCGGCAGACCTCACCTGCCTTGCCCACTGCCCCCCTCAGCGGTGTCTTTGTCGACTGCCTGTTCTGCTCCCTGCTCTGTTTCTGGTGAATTCTCTCACCCTCCAGTGCCTCTGGCCTGTACCCCAGTGCTTGTATAAATAAATAAATCTTTTTTAAAAAAAAAAAACTACTTTTCATATCCTCTTGTTCTTTTTTTGAAAATAATAACAAATACAAAAATTATCAATAATTGCACAAATACTCTTTACAAAGACAGCAATGCTGCTGACAGGGAACTTTACTGGCAGACGGTGATTCATTCTGTGATAATTTGAAATGTTCATCAACTGATGTATGAAAGGGTGCATCAACTTGGCATAAAAGGGTGATTGATAGGTGAATGCTTAACAATTTAAAAATTGTGATACTCTTGTATGTGCTTTCCTGCACATAGTGCAGTGTAATTAGGATTTTTTTATTGACCATCTTGATTTCCTTGCCACTTGCCAGAACAGATTGTCTTAATGTTATATGGAGGCAAATTATGAAAATAAACCTTGGTAAATAGAATTCTAAGATGGCCCCCTAGGATGTCTGCCCTTTGGAGTGTAGCTCCTTTCCCTTGATTATCCTTGAACTTGTGAATACAATGGAGTCACTGCCATGATTATGTCACATTATATGGCAAAAGAGACTGCACATCAATTAAGACCCCTCATCAGCTGACTTTGACTTAATCAAAAGAAAAATTATCCTGGATGAGCCTGACTTAATCATGTGAGCCCTTTACAAGGACTGCATCCTTCCCAAAACCAGAGATTCAAAGTGTGATGAGAGGAAGCAGGGGGTCACATGTCAAAGACCTGAGAGTGACCTCTGGTAGCTGAGAATAGTACTCAGACAATAAACAAGAAAGTAGGACCAGAGTCCTACAACCACAAGGAAATGAATTCTGCCAGCAACCTTGCATCTTCCTTGTCTGTCTTTCAGTTCAGAACGCTTGACTTTCACTTTGTATGTCACTAACATGGCTGACTCCTTTGCTTTGTATGATGCTAACCTGTGCTGGACTCCTGACCCATAACAGTGTGAAGTAATAAACTTGTGTTAAGTCCCTAAGTTGTGGTATAACACAGTAATAGAAAAATAGTGCTATCGATGGGGAGGGGGTGTAGATTCCATTCGCAATAGTAGCAAAAAACATAGCGGTTCCCGTAAGAAATATATGAGAACTATATAAGGAAAATTGTGAGCTTTTTACTGGTGCATTAAAAGAGGACTTGGAAAACTGGGGAGAGTAAATGTTTTAAAGATGTCAATCTTAAAGGAGTTTTTATGACATAAGAAATTCATAATGATCAAATAGGAAAAAATATTTGAACAGAAAATATGCGTAAGATTTGGAAATCTTGGGGAAAGATCACTCTGGAATTGCTCCCAGAACTCTAAACCAATCCATAATTTCTAACTAGAGCTAAAATCTGTAATGGTAGAATGGGCCTAAGTTTAGAAAACTCAACTGGGCAGAGATAGCAAACTCCAGATATGTAAGACATAGGACTTTGCAAACCCACAGAGTATAAAAGTAAGCATAAAGGGGCCTCCCCGGTGGCGCAGCGGTTGAGCGCGGGGTTGCGAAGCTGCCCGCAGCCTCTGCAGTGCCGGTTCGATCCCCGGCTGCTCCCCGGCCACCAGAGGAGGGTCCCACATGGCGCGCAGACCTCTCCTGCCGCCCGCTGCTCCCCTCAGCAGTGTACTTCGGTCCTTCTGCCTGCTCTGCTCCCCGCTCTGGCTCTGGTGAATCCTCTCACCCTCCCGCGCTTCTGACTGTACCCAGTGCTTGTATAAATAAACAAATAAATCTTTTTTAAAAAATAAGCATAGAGACAGGAGGGTTAATAATCTGTGATAACTGTAATAACGTGATAATTTTCACGTAGAGAGAGTACCTGTAAAAGACTGCGTGCTTCTTGGAGCTCAGTAAGTGATACTGCGGAACATTTTTGTTCTGAACCAATTGGGTTACTGGCCCCTGGGAGAACTGATGATACCTAAGTTTCTTGCTCCTACCCCTCCCTCATTACAAATGATCACCTCCCCAAAGGGGCCTGCCGACAGTGCCGCCGGGGTTTGCAACTCTTGAAGGCAACTGCAGGACCCGGGTGAAGACGCGCCTCTGCGCTGCTCTCAGGCGCTGCCATCGGCGCTGCCTCCCTCGAAGCCTCCACCTGTGGCTCCCAGACGCCCGGGCCCCCGCCCCGACTCTGCAGGCGGCTTCCCCCCGAGTCTGCGGGGCCCCGCGAGGGTCCCCTCGGGCTGAGCGGCGACTGCAGGAGGGGGCGGGTCAGGCTGTCGGCCCGCCCCAAGTCGGCCTCGGGTGGGGGCTCTGGCCAATTACTGGATGGAAACTTTGGGTTCCAGAGGGGCGGGAGGCTCGCGGGTGAAAAGCTCATTGATGCCGCCTGCACCGGCCTCGGAGCGCCCTGGATCCAGACGCTGATCACCTTCTGCCTCCGGATTCTCCTCCTGCTCGGCCCCGCGGCTGCCGCGAGCAATGCACCCCCAGGGCCCCGCCGCCCCCGGCCCGCAGCGCCTCCTCGGCCTCCTGCTGCTCCTGTTGCTGCAGCTGCGGGCGCAGTCCAGCGCCTCTGAGACCCCCAAGGGGAAGCAAAAGGCGCTACTGCGACCCAGGGAGGTGGTGGACCTGGTGAGTGCGTGGAAGGGGACAGAGCCGCGAGAGGCACCCCAGAGGCGTCAGTCTAGCTGCTGGGCGGGAGGGGAGCGGGTGATGCCTGTGCAGCTGGGCGTCTGCGCCTCGGGTGCGCCCGGGTGTCCTGCTTTGTTGGAAGCTAGTGTAAGAAAAGACCTGGGCTGCGCGTGGAGTGGAGTCCTGGAACTCCAAGGGGAGGTCAAAGTGAGAGGCCATCGTGGAGTCAGTTTTCGACTTGGGTCGGTGGGACACCCCAAAGTAGCTGGAGTCGCCCATAATTTCTGGCCTCTGAGGTCCCCCTGGGAGGATGGGAAGGGCCAGAGCGGTAGTGAGAGTGAAATGAGGAACTTGGGTAGGTTAGAACACGACCCTGGAGCTGCCTGGCAGACCCTGGACTCACTGATGCCTGGGTGGGCCTGGGTCAGGGCCTTGCAACGTGGCCTTTGTTGGGGCTGGTGGCCACGTCTGCCTGCAGGGGAGAATAACCCTCACAAAGGATCCGTCCAGCTCTTTGTAATTCGAGACAATGAGTCATGTTGGGTCATCTTCCTAGGGATTATGGACTGCAGTTTGCTGTTGGATGACCAGAGCTGAGGCCAGGAAAGGTTCAGAGGGTTTAAGGCTGGGAGGGGAAATGAAGGGCCTTAGCCCTCCAAAGACCCCTCTCATTGCTCCATTAGACAGAAGGACAGTCAGCCCTTCCAGGCATCTTAAAACTTCAGCCTGTGGCCATCAAGTAGAAGCATCACAGTCCAGCTACAGGAGACAGTTTCCATGAGAGCCTAAATGCTCTCGGAAGGGCTAATCTATGCAAAGGTCTGTTTGCTTAAAGCGGTTTCCTCTAAAAGTCAACAAATCTGGAGGAGAGCTGAGAGTTTCTCTATCCCTGGCAAGAATCAACTTTTCACCACTACCATGTTCCTCTGCAATAAGCTTCAATCCCTAAGCCAATCTCCTTGCAGACAAATGTGGTTAACAGGCATCGCAGGACATAGAGGGCATATTTTGATTTAAAAATACGGTTTCAAATTTATTGTCTTTGTCAACTAAGTTAACAAGCCAAACTCCCCGGCCAGTTTTATGCCAGATTCGGTAGCTCTGAGAAAGATTCCTGCCCTTTTACCCTGCACTTTTTGGTGGTGTGCTGTGTAATTTTTCTCCTCAAAGTAGCTCCTGTGTTCAAGGACACAGTCTATTTTAAGTGTCCAAATTGTTTTTTAAAAAAAAAAAAACTGTACCAGATGATTGTGGTTTATGTGCAGTTTGCATTTTGTGAATTTGTAATTATGACACACATAATGTCTCTTTTCCCTATAAAGCTTGCCATTTTTTCTTTTCCACCAAGGATTTACAGTACCTGTGATTTCCCATAACTGTAGCCCGATTTGGAAAAATTTATTGGGCAGCTGGGTTCAGGTGCGTCCTGTAGATTGGATTTGGTTTTGCTGGGGGGAAAGTTTACATAGCCATTAAGAAGGTTTCAACAGAGTTATAAAGCAACTTCTTTGTACAGGATCTTTGAAAGCGTTCTTTTCAAGCCTCCAGCCGCTCTGCCCCCTGCTGGCCAGTGATGGAAACAGGGCTTCATCCCACAGAACTTTATAGAACTCAGCCTGAGCTGGGTTAGCATTTTTTTTTTTTTTTTAAAGATTTATCTATTTGTGCAAACAAGAGCTGGGGTACAGCCCAGAGATGCGGAAGGGGGGGGAGGTGGTGGTGAGAGGATTCACCAGAGACAGATTGGGGAGCAGAACAGACAGACTGACTGAAATACACTGCTGAGGGGAGCAGTGGGTGAGTCAGGAGAGGTCTGCTGTGCCATGTGGGTTGCTCCCTGGCCGGCTGGGGATTGAACTCGTGCTGCAGAGGCTGCGGACTGCTTCATAGTGCGGTGCTTAACCCCTTGCGCCACCAGGAAGGCCCCTGGGTTAGCATTTTAAAGTGAAAGAGGGCAGATATACTACCTGTGGAACCAAATTCAAAATTGTGTGGTCTCAGATAAAACAGCAAATAAAAATTCTCAACCATGGTACTATTGACATTTTGGGCTGGATTTTTTTTGTGTGGGGACTCTCATGAGCATTGAAGTGTATTTAGCCCACTACCCACTAGGTGCCAACAGCAACTCCTCCCTCCCAAGTTGATAACTACTGATACATAGGAAAAGAAAACTCTGTATACATTCTTGCCTTGAGGGGAATCCTAGTGAGGGAAACAAAATGATAGAAGACTCTTGTTGTTTATCCTTTCATATTTGAAGTCTGTATTCAAACAGTACTAGTGAAAGTGAATGAAATTGCTAAAATGAAAACTAAGTCTAAAATAAATGGAAATGTTTAGAATGTTTTAGACTTTAGCATGCCTTACTTTTGCAGTTTTGTTACTTTTCTTACTATCTCACCAGCAGTCCATAAATGCGATGTCTTTTTTTTTTTTTTTTCCTCCTTACAGTCAGGGTAATGTCAATGGTCAGAGGCACAAAAGCTATTTATCAAAACAAAGATCAAATCGATGATGTGAGGGCCTCCCCGGTGGCGCAGCGGTTGAGCGCTGGGTTGCGAAGCTGCCCGCAGCCTCTGCAGCGCCGGTTCGATCCCCGGCTGCTCCCCGGCCACCAGAGGAGGGTCCCACATGGCGCGCAGACCTCTCCTGCCGCCCGCTGCTCCCCTCAGCAGTGTACTTCGGTCCTTCTGCCTGCTCTGCTCCCCGCTCTGGCTCTGGTGAATTCTCTCACCCTCCCGCGCTTCTGACTGTACCCAGTGCTTGTATAAATAAATAAATAAATATTTAAAAAAAAAAAAATCGATGATGTGAGAATGGGATTGACTGGAAAACATTAGATGCCTAAGGACCCTTTCCAGGCAGTGTCTGTGGATTTTACAATATGGCTGTGCTCAGTTCCAGAGGGTGAAATTAAAATAAAAGCTTTGAAGTTATTGTCATGTATGTGGAAACTTATGTTTTGGTTCTCACTATTGAAAAATTTCCCCAAGTAGGGGAATTTTTAAAAGAAAGTTTAAATGAATTGGGTTTAGGATTTGGAGGATCTAATGGAGCAAATAAGGTAATTAGACACATGGAGATGCAGATAACACCTTTATTACTGATCAGACTTCACTGGTGTCTGTGGTTTATGTGTGTTAGCTGGCCGGGTTTCTAATACTCTCTTTCTCCGAGCTAGACCCTGGGGAAGTCCACACAAGAATGTGGACTCAATTACCCAGGGTGTCTGCTTTACTTGGTCTTGGGAGAATAACAGGAATAATCAAGACTGACAGATGGGGTGTTTACTGTGTGCCAGACACATTTTATGTATTACCTCATTTCAATCTCAAACAAACCCTACAAAGTAATAATCTTTATCATCTCCCCCACCCACCCGTCCTCTACAGAGAAGGAAATGGACACTGAGGTGCTTAAGAAAAGTGTGCTGTCTCACCCAGCTAATAAGCCGTGGAGTGGGGATTAAAACGTGGAGACTCTAGCTCTAAACTACATGTTCTTAATGTTCACATGACACTATTCCCCTGTCCCCATAAAAAGAGAAAGAATCCTAGCCCTTAGGTGTATGACAGATTACTTCCCCCCTACTGAAGACCGTGGTGACCTGCAACCAAGTGTTTCATTCTTTGAGAAAAGATGGGGTCCTCCGCCAGAAGTGTTATCTTGATGATGCTTCCTCCACCTAACAATAGCAGTGAGAACCAGATGTGCATGTCTAACTTGGAGTTGTTGCCAGTGTGAGACAATTATTGCTTGGTAGTGTTGTAGAGCAACCCCAATACAAAACGGGGTGCCTGACTGTGGGTCCTCACCCGCGCACTTAACAGGACTTATCAATGCTCTACTGCAGGCACACGCGAAAGGTTAATAAAAGGTATATTTACAAGGGAAGGGGAAATGAGGAAATGTACAGCTCAGGGAGAAAAGTGGGAGACAAAGTTTTAAATGAGTCCTACCCGATCCGCCGATCAGGAATCCCAAAATGGCACTCTGAGAGCTGGCCGTGAGCCAGGAGCCGTGAAGCAGGGAGGCGAGCAATAGCGAGCCAGCCCAAGGCCCACGTGTTTGGTTTTTATATCCAACCTGGCTGCCCAACTCCACCCTCAGGTCCCAGCCACCCTCCCTTTGGTAGTGACGGGATTTGTCTTTCCCAACGTCTTGATGGCTTTAGTCTGGAGTGGGGGTGGAGTCCACAAAGCCTGTATAGAATTAGCTCAGGACATCATTTCCCCCTAACAGTAGGATTTTATTTTATAAATAGATCTCATTATTTCATCTTATGGAAATAATTCAAAAGAGGAAAAAAGCTATATGGAGAAAGATTTTTTTTTCCATTAAAACAGTATTAATGTTAGGAAAAAAAGGTAAATCCTAACTATTCCCAAATAGTGCAACGTTTGCATAAAACTATAAAAGTATAGTTCTGAAATCCAAGTCCCTTTACAAGATATTGGATTAGAAAGTAAAGTAGTATATACCAAATTATTTCTACTTTGAAATACAGCTATTTAAAAATTATGTCTGCCTTTAATGAGAAATAGAAGAAGCAAGAAAATGAAAATATTTTGTCTTTGTTGATATGGTGTGTGCATGGGTGTCTAACGTTTGTGCAAGAGCAAAACATCTCATTTTTTAGAAGGAATTTAAAAATCAATTTTCTGTAACAATTCATCTAGAACACAGGCAAGTGGTGTGAAGAGGGTCTGGATTCTAAGGGCTTAAAATAAATGTAGTTGAATTCAGAGTTTCCCCCTTTCTTTTTTTCCACTACAGTATAATGGAATGTGCTTGCAAGGGCCAGCAGGAGTGCCTGGTCGAGATGGAAGCCCTGGGGCCAATGGCATTCCTGGGACCCCGGGGATCCCAGGTCGGGATGGATTCAAAGGAGAAAAGGGGGAATGCCTGAGGGAAAGTTTTGAGGAGTCCTGGACACCTAACTACAAACAGTGTTCATGGAACTCGCTGAATTATGGCATAGATCTTGGGAAAATTGCGGTAAGTAAAGTCTGAATTATTTTAAAGTTGAAGCATAACTTAAGGGTTTTCACAGTTGAGTGCTTATTTTAGGTGAAATTTAATTCAACTTAATTTTACATATCAATTATTTTTACCAAAGACACTTAAAAAATATGGCATAGGTACCATGTGACTTTCTATTTAAATTTAGTGAAAAAATGGATAACATTTCAGAGGTAATTTTATAAGGATATTTTGAAGACAAATTAATCATCAAATTAATTTAATCCTAACACAACTTTTTTTAAAATGCCAACAAAAAGGGAGTAACTTTTCAATCTTGTCCTAAAGTGCGTTTAACTTTAGTCTTCAAAATTCTACTGTGGTTCCAGACAGAGAGTAGAGAGAGGTTTCTAAGAAATTGCCACATGATAGGAATTATGTGAAAGTTAGAAGTCCATTGATATTTATCCTTATTTAGGGTGGCAGCCCCATCTTAAAATTGGTAAATTAAAGAGAACTGGAATGGAGCAGGCATGTGATACAGTGACCATTTAAACATTTGAGGAGGGAGGAGAAATTACTCTAAATAGCATGTCTGGTAATGCATTTTGATTAAGGATTCAGTCACTTTGATTAGTGCTTTCTTTCAAAGGAACTGGCAAGTCCAATGGAAAGGCAGAGTTGAAGAATGTGTGCTATTTATAAGCCTCTTTATTCTTTTGTTGACTAACTCTGAACATCACTCCAGATCCAGGATATATTACTTCTTGATGTCAACCATTCCTACCTTCAGGCAAAGAGCAGAGGTTTTATTTTCATATAAATTCTGTAGTTTTGGTTACTGACCATTTTTATTTTCATATGTGATTTCTTAGAAAGCATTTTGTTAAAATGTTGCCTACTTCATTAAACATCTGACAATGATAGACTGGTTGTTTATAGTTTATCAGAAGTTGCTGAGTTCTGTTGGAAAGCTATCACTATAGACTGTGAATTATTAATGTTTTCAAGTTCCTTTTAGCTGTGGTCAGGATGGGTTTGGGAGATTTTCTACAAGTAAAAGATAGTAGGATCATGAGCCAAACAACATATTTTGCAAAAAGCAGTTTGAAAAACAAAAACAAAACCAAAAACAAGCCTGGGCTTTATAGTTGACACATAGGTGAAGACTGAAAAGACCCCACCTTTGCTTTACCTCTGGTACTGTTTGATGTTGCTCAAAAAGAAACAGGTCAAGAGTAAATATATATGGACAGGGATTGTCTAGAACGTGAGTTCCAGAGGGCACAGGTTCTGTTTAGCTCCTTACTTTATTTGTAGCATCTCGCAGCACACAGGGCTCAGGAAATATTTTTTGAGTGAAGAAAAAAAATAAATATATAACTTAGTTTAATCTAATATACTGATGATTACCATTTTTTTGGTAAACCTATATAATGAAGAATTCTAACAAAGCCATAATTTGAGTTTCTTAGAGTTCTTAATATCAGAATCACATATCTATCTTTCAGAGACTCTTTCCCTCTGTGAAAGTTAAGTTTTTTATATGTGGTTTGGAGCAACAGGTAGTTCAATAAGATTCACAATACAATTTGAAAGTGTCTTCTTAATGAAAGCAGAAAGTGCTGATTAAGCCCTCTGTGTGTGTGTGATAGGAGTGTACATTTACCAAGATGCGTTCGAATAGTGCTCTGAGAGTTTTGTTCAGTGGCTCACTTCGGCTAAAATGCAGAAATGCCTGCTGTCAGCGTTGGTATTTCACGTTCAACGGAGCTGAATGTTCAGGACCTCTTCCCATTGAAGCCATAATTTATTTGGATCAAGGAAGCCCTGAACTGAATTCAACAATTAATATTCATCGTACTTCTTCTGGTAAGTAGAATAATGCGGTTGTAGAATATGCTGCAGAGCTGTACAGACCAAGGGTTTAGTTTTGAATCCACTATCATGTTGAGTCACTAGTCTGTTACAAAGAGAACTGTAGCAAGTTTTCAACAAATAATTCTTCATTGTGGTTGCATTTCAGAATTTCCTATGGGTTTTTTAAAAATTAAACAGATGCCTAGGTCCCATCCTGCTGAATTAGAATATCTGGGGGAAGGACCATAGCAGCTATATTTTAAAAGAGCTCCAAGGTTTAAAATCACTTAATTAGATGAAATGGCAAAACAGCCAGTAATGCCATAGAGTATGGGTTTTCATCCTTGGCTGAGCACTGGGTCACATGTGGAACTTTAAGAAATCCCCTTGCTGGGTCCACTTCTCCAGGGAGTCTGATTTAATGGGCCTGAGTGCATCCCAGTGGGACTCAGTGGTTTTTCTAAAATACAGTCAAGGTTGGAAACCATTAATTTAGACTGATAAGGGACTGATTTCTCAGTCCTGTCCTTTAAAAGGGTAGATAAGGTATCCTGAGTTTGTAAGAGAAAATTTCTATTTCAGTTTCTGCATTCTTTGCTTATTTCTACATAGTATTAGAGAAAAGGCAGTCAATAAAACCAGTTGTCAGTGAAGCTGTAAGGGAGAAAAAACACTGGTTTGTTTCATATTAAGTTTCCCTTAAAAAAGTCTAGAAAGCACCAAAAAGTAGAAGGGACAAAATTACCTATTGATGTCATAGCCCAAAACCACTATCAATATTTGACTGGCCCCATTTTGGTTTTAAGTTGCAGTTGCGTTGCACAGCATATGCCGAGATGGCTAAATGGCTGGCTTCATTTCCCCGATTTCTTAAAGGGATTACTCACTAATCTTGTACTTATAAATGGCAGCGGGCAAAGAAGAGAGTCTCCACTGCCAACCAGAAAAAAAAAAAATGGTATTTTGTCATTCTTCAGGGATCCAAATCAAATGGTGACCCCTAGAATATAATACATTTATCCCTAAGAAATCAAGGGCATCTCTTCCACATCCGTCTACAAAACCCCACAAGATACTCAAGAAGAAATTTTAACTCCCTCCCTTTTACACTGAGAAGGTCCAAGGACATGAAGTGTCTTACCAGATAAGAGCATCAGTGCTCAGGATGGCAGAAACTGAAGACCGACCCCCCTTCTCTCCCTAGTCCTCTCACATGTCACAAGTATTTAATAGTTTGTTGTTCGTAACAGTTTTTGTATTAAGATGAATTTAAGGTTGCCTTTCTAATAAAATTACCTTCTCTTGCACACTGATACTTTTCTTTGAGGGAAAGAAAAGGGGGGCACTTATAGTTAGCACACCAGAGGATGACGTTAAGCCTAGTGGATTGTCCATAGGCATTTGAATGCCATTTTGTTATGTGGTCTAGGAGGTAACAACAAATTCCAGGTGTTTAATAAGCTGTGGTACAATACTGTATCATCGTGGCAAAATGTTGTTTCATTCGAAAAACATTTCAGTGTTGAGGACGGTGAAATGATCATCTAATGTAACTTACACTAGACCCAAGCTTGTCTGACTTCCTGTGGGGTAAAGTGAACAACTCTCTAGTCCAGGATTGTCAAGAAATACATGAGATTTCTGGGCATTCTCACTTCAAGTAGCACTGAGAAGATAGACTTACTGGGGTTTTGGGCACACTGCTCATTCTCTCAGTTTGAAAGGGAGCTGAACCAGAGCTAGGTCCCTGGGTTCTGATGCAACAGCTAATGGAAGCAGTTTGCTTTAGACCTACATCCCTGGGGCTCAGCTGGAATGCACTAAGCTCAGCCAGATGGGAGCCTCACCAGTCATATGTTATCATCCCGGCACTACTCACGTATCCCCATTCATTTTCTTAAAGAATCTGCCAACCTGCAGTTCATTTTCTCCCTTACACAGATATCAACATGTCTACATCTTTTTGCCAGTTAAAATGACCACTGGGGGGATTATTTTTTTAATGTAGGAGAAGAGCCTTGGTAAGAGGGAATACAAGTTGTATGTTAGTATGTGACACTCAAGACCCTGAGAAAAGGCAATTGAATAGAAAGCATAAACGCAAAGGACTTTTTGGTTTGTTTTTCCACCGTGAGGGAAGTCTGTGCAAAGTGGGATTCCAAGTCTGAAGGACTAGGTAGAATGATTGTGCTAGAATTTTTAAAATGTTATAAAAGGCCTTTTTTTCTATTTGAATACCATCAAATATAGAAGTAATTTTTGAAAAGGGATTCCTTTAAAAGAAACTAGCATGTCAAATCAAAAGTCTTGGCTTTAAAAGTATAGGCTTCCTTCATTTAATCAAGTAAATTGATTTTTTATTGTAGGCTATCTTTATAGGGATTCTATTTTTATGGTTGAAACCTGTAAGAATACTGCTTGTTAAGCTTTTATCATAGGATGAATATGTATACAACTCTGAAAAATATTTATGTACTAAGAAAAAGAACTTGTCTTTAGACTGATAAGGAGACTGATTTCTCAGTCCTGTCCTTTAAAAGGGCAGATAAGGTATCCTGAGTTTGTAAGAGAAAATTTCTATTTCAGTTTCTGCATTCTGTTTATTTCTACGTAGCATTAGAGAAAAGGCAGTCAATAAAACTAGTTGTCAGTAAGCATTTGAAATTTTAATTCACTATACATTTAATTGATTAATAATCTGCCTTGCTGAAGTAATACGCTAAAAATTTTTACTTTTTGTTCTGAAGATGTAACGTTCATCTTTGTTTTGCAGTGGAAGGACTTTGTGAAGGCATTGGTGCTGGATTAGTGGATGTTGCTATTTGGGTTGGGACCTGTTCGGATTATCCCAAAGGAGATGCCTCTACTGGATGGAATTCGGTGTCTCGCATCATTATTGAAGAACTACCAAAATAAGTTCTTTAACTTTTATTCCCTACCTCCTTTTCATTATACTTTTAAATGGTTCATTTTAATATTTTATACAATTTTATATATCCTCTGAATGAAGAAAAAAGCTAAACATGTTTACAGACCAAAGTGTTTTTTACACTGTTTTTAAATCCAGTATTATTCATTTTACTTCAATCAAAATGGTTTCAGGATTTTGTAGTTTATTAGAATACTTTCTTCATATTTCCTTTCCCTGAACTTGTAATTTGGAATGTCATTGTGGTCTTTAATTTTTTTTCCATCCTCAGAAAGGATGAACTTTTTAAAATATAAAACTACCAGTCTTTGTACAGGTTGTAAATGTTCAGAATTATTTTATATCTGTGAAATAAAACTTATTTCAAAATAACTTTAACATCTTTAACCTAATCACCACTAGAATTAGAGGTTTTTCATATTCTGTGTCTGAAAAGTTGACTATAAATCTAATTTTACACTTACTCATTTAACAGTTACATACTAACTTTGATTGTATTTATAGTAAGTACTGTTGTATATTTTGAGGGATACAAAAAGAAAGGGGTATTTAGTCAGGAAATACACTAGAACTTTAGAACCTTCTTCATCTTTGTTTAACAAACAGAACTCTGGCCTCAAATTATTTCCCATTTGGTCCGGAGAATCAGATACAGGCAAAAATAGCATATTCATCTTTGGCTTATTGTTGATTGCCATAGAAGTTGTTGAAAGAGGGTGGTATGATCTCTCACTCTAGCTGAGATGATCACAAAGAATGATGTGGTTTAGGAACTTCACCTTCATGATGAAGGTAGCACAGGTATAAGACTCATGAAGTCAAGTAAATCCCAGGCTTGAATTGGAAGGATGAATCCATAAAGTACGCTATCTTAAATAAACCTAGGAACACAGTAACAATATCTCTTAGCATTGTTACTGAAAAGGCCTGGAAACAATGCCTAGGTTGTGATCTCTATATACTGCTTCCTACTAAAAGGAACTAAGGCTCCTTGAAGAAATGGGTAATTTCAACTGTGGGACAGGAAATGTACAGTATCAGCCTGGAGCAGCCAGCCTGGCATACTGAAAAAACTGGGCCACAATGAGAGACAATCTAAGCGCCTGCTTGAATTGGTTCCCACTGGCAAAGATGATAACAATTTAAGCATCCATAAATATCCTAAATACAAGCTTCAAACAAATCCAACATGTTTAAATATAAGTCCCTGGTTTCTTGCTGTCAGCTCAAGACTGCTCCCAGCTCCTAGAGATTGTCCTCAGGTCCTTACCCTGCAGCTGTTTTTCTTCTAGACCAGCAAGGGAGCTCCTGCTTTTGAAAGACTGACCTGACTAAGTAGATTGGACCCACCCAAGATCATCTCCCTTTGGAGTATGGTTAACTGATTAAGGAACCTTAATTACTACTGCAAAACTCCTTTGCCATCTAACATAACCATAGAGATGTTATTGGTTAGATTTAAAGATACCAGCAATGCTCACGGGGAAATTATGCAGGGGGTACACACCAATGGGCAGGAGTGATGGGGTCCATCTTAGAATTCTGTCAAGTACCACCTGGCCATTTTGCACTCTTTATAGCACTGAGCCAATAAGTAAAAAAACAGGTTAACCTACTCACTATAGTGATTGATCCCAATTACTAAGGGAAATTGGTTGCTGCTTTGGTGGAAGCAAGGGCTACACAGAACCCTACTGAACCCTGGAGATTTTCTGAGGTTCCCCTTCGTACTTCTGTGCCAACAGTAAAGGTTAATGGAAAACTACAGGAACCAGAAAAAGGTAAGATGATTAAAGATTGAGACCCTTCAGGGATGAAGGTTTGGATCATTCCACCAGGTAAGAAACCCAGTCTGGGTTCTGACTTGGGCAAGAAAAATATGGAGTGGGTAGTTGAAGGTAGAAGATACAGCTATCAGCTATAATCTCATGAGCAACTACAGAGAAACAGGGATTCTGGTACCTTCACATATTTTCATTTTTACATGCATGTGTTGATTATATAAGCGATTTTCTCCTTTCTTCTATCCATCTTTATTTAAAGTTTGGGGGAGTTGGCTTTACCAAGTAGTCTCTAGCTAAGAGAATTTAATGAAACCATGACTGAATTTGAGTACCCTGCAATGAATGCAATGATTGTTGAGGTTTTGTGTCTCCTAATTTGCGGGAGAGAAGAACTTCACTCACCAAGATAGCTGTATCTTGAAAGCAAAATATAGTTGGCTTCGTTATGCAGGGATTCAAATGTGTATATAAGAGGGCATGTAGAAGTGAGTAGTCAAAGGAGTCCCGTGAGCCACTTATCACTGTATTGCTTCTCAGCTCCAAATTCATCCTGCAGCACCTGCTCTGTGCTAACAGACTAGACTCTAAGCTTTTCTCTTTCAGAAGGAGTAGGTTCAGTAGAGGATGCAGGAGGGACAAGCAGGAGGAAAGCAGCATCTCTCTGTGGCTTCAGTGTGCTAACATTTGCTTTTTCTTGTGCCTCCTGCTGCATGGTCAGTGGTGTGTGTGCATCTGGTGGTGCTTTGCTCAGTTGCACACTGTAAAGAAAGGACTGGACACAGTGCAGGTTTTCTAGGATCCAGCAGTCGGGTAAAGGAGGAGTCAGAGTCCTCAGTGGTTTTGCAGGTTTTTATTGGGATTACCAGGTACACAGGAGGCAGGGGCGCTGGGGGGCCGGTAGGCTGGCAGGCCTCCTCTGGGCTCTCTGGCCTTCTCTCAGCTTCTGCTTCTCTTGCTTCTCTCTCAGCTTCTGCTGCTGCTGGCATCCCTGTGACGCCGCCCTGAAAAAGCCCAGTCTCAGCCCAGGTGAATCCCATCCACTTATGCCCACACCCTACTCCAGGTGCCCGCCATCAGGCATGCATTCAGGACCGCAAGGATCCATCATCTATCCTGATGGCGGGAGGGCAGAAAAGCCTGACATTTTTTCCTACAACACACCCAGAACGTAGTCTCAGCTTCCTCGCAGCTCCAGCCGAGGCGGCCTGGTGGTCACCTTGCTGCAGTCCTGAGAGGGACAGGATGTGCCCCTGCCCTCGTGCCTGCCTACCCGGAACAGGGCTGTTCCTGAGGCCTTTGCCATGTAGACAAGATCTGCTCCTGACTGCACCTGCAGAAACCTAACCTCCTCTGCCACCTGCACCCCAGCTTTGTGTCCCAGGGGATTGGTTCCTGTTATTCATATTCTAAACCAGCTCTGACCCAGGCCACCCAGCACAGGTTCTCAGCACCCAGTGGTTTACAACCATATCTCCAACAAAACTGAGTGTGGGGGGTGGGGGTGGGGTGGGGTGGAAGGGGTGACTACTCTCTCTTCCAAACTTGGTCTTTAGCCCTTTAGAGTCCTTAACATATTTCTGTTACTCTACCATGGCTTGCAAATCTTTGGCTTCTGGGCTACATTACTGTGTGTTGTCTCCTGGCTGAACCTAGATTGATAAGGCCATGATTATGAGTTTGGCACAAGGAAGCAAGCATGAATAGCACTTTCTGCATTTCTTGGGGAATGTAAAAGCCGCTTACAGAGAGGATCATGTATTCACCCCATTCCTCCTAGCCCAAAGTTTTACAAGGGCAGGCTGTGAAAGTCTTGGTCCAGTGCTATCTGAGGCTGTACAGTATGTCAGTACAATTTTCGGATTTGGTATAAGGAAGTTCTCTTTTGGTTAGTTTTCTAAGAGTCTATCTCCTTCCTTTATTCTTTTCATAGCGAGTTGTATAATGTTTTTTATAGATAGTAAATAACAATGTTTTTATGTAAAACAAAAGTTTAATGAATCTATGAACCTATGCAACATATGTAAGGGTCCCAAAGGGTCACTTTTCAGAAAGGTGAGATCAGTTTCCATAGAAACAGTTCACAAACACTGACAGTTGATGGGAAAGTGACATATAGATGTTACAGTCTGTATTGCAGGTTCTGTGTCACCTGAGAAACTTGCAGTTGTAGCAAGTAATAGAAAAACCACATGATACAAGCTTTAAAAAAAGGATATTTATTTATTGGTTCACTAAGTTGAAAATTAGAGGTACCTGTTGTGAGGCGTGAGAAGTGACCCAGAATCTCATATAATGTGACTTAAGAGCAAATTTCTTTCAGTTTTTTGTCATTCTTTAGTATTGTGTCCACTTTGGACAAACTCACTCCCTGTCTCACCCATTTGTGATCCTAAATTGACTTTAAAGAGGTCTGTTTCATGAATCCTCATTCGTGAAATAGCAAAGAGAGAAAGTCAATGGACTCAGAAAGTCTTTAAGGGTCTCTGCATGGACCAGCTTAGGTAACTGCCAATTCCAAACCGTTCATTATAGACAGAGATGGCAGAATCAGTGGCTCTGTTAATCAAAGCCACCTCTGGGGAGGGTGAGTAGATTCTGCAAAGAAATTCAGGCCACTATTCTAAGAAGGAAAAGAAATAGCGACTGGGCAACAAGTAACAGGTATTTATCAGGTTAGAATCTATTTCCTATTTACTCCTTTAGAAATTTAAGATATTGTTATCCAGATATTAAGCTTAAGATATTAAGCTATTATTTATATTCAGTCAAGCGTCCATACTCAAAGGGAGATACTCACTTTGGTGACTCATGACTATACCTTTTAGTTGCTATCCCTAAAAAAGTGCCAGACCATGGCAGCAAATACTGAAATACAACAGCCATCTTTTCACAGGGCATGGCACCCACGGTCTTCCATCACACATGCTACCACATTTGCTCTCTAGTGCCCAGTTTCAGCACTTGTTAGAAGCCTACATCTTACTCTTGAAGAGTTGTCCTTGGTTTTCCCTTTGTCAACCTCCCGCTCTTCTTCTCTTTCCTAGACTTCCAGTCCTTTTTTTCAGCTAAAGTTCTTTAACTTTCCTTTAGCTGCTGAAATCCAAAAAAGAAGAGCCTACAGTGGTGTAATATTTGCAGTATGCCCCACATGCCTGCTTGCAATCTGTCTTCAGTCTCTATAATTTGAATCTGCTTCAAGGTATCAGTGGAATCAATTCTTCACCCTATTGAATTATTGGGTTGTCTGAAAAGGCATGACCTATTTTTTTCTTTGAAATAGAAAACTTAGAAAAATGCATCATGACTTTTCTGACAACACAGTATTTACATAACTGATAACTCCTTTTTGAGTCTATTCTTATCCGGTCTTCTGTCCTGTCAGATGTAATCATGCCTCTCTATTTTGACTCATCCATTTAATCCTGTCTATAATCCTGTGTACTACCTACTTTTAATATTTTCATTGGTAGTAGATGCTATTAATTGTAAGCTGCTAACAGTTCACTCCTCCACCCGGATTTGGAGGATTGCCCTTGGCTGAGACTCACCTAGCCAGCCCAGCAGCCCTCCTCTACCCAGGGCAGGTAGTCAAAGACTGCCAGAGGTGGAAACAAAGCAGCCCAGCCCTCACCTCTGGGCAAAACACTTTGTGGTTCAATTACACTGCAGTCTCTGTGGGGTTAGATGGAGGTTGAATTTCGGAAACCTCCTCTTCCCCTGCCTCTCCTGTTTTCTTTACTCCACTGCAGCGTTCTCCCAAGAGCACTCCCTCAATAAATCATTTGTGTACGAATCCCCATCTTAAGCATTACCCCTGGAAACGAAATGATCCACGATAGCATTTTACAGATGAGGGAACTTGACTCAGAAAGGTGAAGTATTAGCAAAAGGTCAAACAGAAAATGGGAAAGCTGAAATTCGAAGTCAGATAGCAATCTAAGGCTCCTGAGTTGTGTTCTTTCCCACCACACTGCAATGGTCACTTCTCCAACTAACTCTGCAGTCACCCTCGCCTCACACTCATGCCTCTAGCCAAGTAATTCCTATCTCAGGATCTTTGTACTTCCTGTTCTCCACCTAGATTGTGTTGCCTCTATCCCACTGTGGCCTGCATCCTCATTTCTGGCAAAAACGTTTCAAGGATTACCCCTGAGATCTTTCCTGACCTCAACCACCTCACTCCCACCATACTACACTATCCTTAACTCTGCTTTAGTGATATTGATAGCAATTTTTAAAACCTGAAATTATGTTATTCATATGTTTGCATGTTTTCTGCACTCCCACTGAAATGAAAATTCCTAAGTGCGGGAATGTTGTCTGGTTTATATCCTCAACGCTTGGTAACAAACCTTGTACAGAACAAGAGTTCAATATTTGTGGTGAGCAGAATTAGTTCTCCTTTCTCAGAATTCTTATAGGGCTTGGTAGAAATCTCCTTGGACATTCTTAATCTAGAAAGGCAGTTATTTAGTGCTTATGTATTTATTCTGCAAGCTTGTATGCTCGAACAGGAGAGGAATTATATTTTATTAATTTGGGAGGTATACAGGAGGCACTCAAATCATGGTGCTATCACTAAAGCTCCAAACCCCAACTGCAACAAGTCTTTTCATATAGGGACTAATTTTAGGATTTCATATATAGTTTAATCCAGACATATAAAAATATATTACATTTAATTTATAAAGCATTCCTGTGCATATTACAGAGATTACAGTAAATACAATTAGGTTCTCAACATTTTCTCTTTATTTTTAAAACAATACCATTTTTAATATATAAAAAATAGACCTATTTTCAAAGAACCATTTCAATATGGCTTTGAAAACCAATGTTTTATTTACAACAAACAGATGGTACTGCAATTTCATTCATACCATGTTTATGACAGATAAAAATATACTATCTTGGAATCCTTTGGGGGCAGGCTTATAAATGTATAGTTACCTGCAACTCAAAAATTAATAATGGCCATAAATGTAATTTGTATTTAAACCTGCATTTCAGCACTCAGTTTAGTCAGAAGAATCATTTATTTAGGATCTAGACCCATATATCCAAAAAACTGAAGAAGTAAAAGTTTCTTATTTCCACAGTTTGTCAACAAACACATACTGATCATTCCAGTATCTGCATATAATATGATCTATTAGCAAATCCATTAAGTGACTTTAAGCCAAATATGTTAAAGAGGCTGACACAGCTGGATACTAGAACTTCAAATTTGTAAGTTTAAAAAACACCAAGTATCTGTTCCAAAAAATAATTGGATTATGACAGGATTACATTTTAAATTACAGAAAAGCCTCTAGAAGAAAATAAGTGATGGAGTGACAACAGATGCTAGATATTTCTCAAATTATGGAAAGTGCATAACTTTTCAAATTTCTCTAATGAGCGCATTTCAATCGAATTAAAACTAAAGCACATTTACAGTGGATTTTTTTCCAACTCAGATTTCCCAATTCTAAAATGGTCTGGTTTTGAACAACATCTATTCCACTAAATCCTTGAAACAGCAATGACATTCTTATGAAAGAACATTTTCCTGGTTTTGCACAAAGGTGGATTTTTTAACGCCAATCCAGGCAAATGAGTTCAGAAATTGAAGCACATACATGTAGCAAATGCTGCAAATCAGCTTCTACCTGAATAATGAAATAAAGAAATCCATGGAACGCTCTGCTTCATGTCAGCTTCACTGCTATTTTGATGGTTGCCATTTCTGGCAGAGGTATCCAAGTCCCATACAGATGGGGAAGGCAAAAAGCAGAAACACAATGCAAAGATGTAGCAGTTTTTTGACATGTATTATGATTACAGACCAATCTTGGTTATAAGCCATGGTGCTGCATAGTATTCTTCTGAGTTTTACATCTTAAGCACAAGGGAGCCATGTGGCTGCCTTGGGCATATATATATTGGAATGACCTTTTAGTTTACTTTCTATTTTCTTTTAGGTTGAGCAAAAAGTGTGAGACGTTTTCATATACCACGAAAGTGATACAGCAGGCTGGAGTCACTCTAATCAAATTAGGGGCAATTCCTTTGTAAAATCCACCGATGCCTTCTTTCCTTTAAAGGGAAAAATAGACATAAGTTTAATTCCCCACATAGCTAGTTTGAAGATACAAAAGTTCTCCAACACAGAGTTAGCAGTCAAACTTCACTGTGATTTAAATCAATGTTTTCAAAGTCATGAAATAATGTGGTTCTGAGCGACTGTGGGAGCCACATTCCTACTGCAGGTTGACTTAGGAAGAGAGGGTAGGGATATCTCAAAACTAAACTGATAGGCGCTTTAATGATAACCATCTTTCAAATGCCTTTAAATGTATGAGCATGCAGGAATATTAACTAATCTAATGTAGTCATTAAAAAATTCAAACAGCTTATATAAATGAAAGAAAACACTAAATGATAAAACTGTATTTCCTTATGCCTAGAATAGGAATATAGCCTGGATGTTGTCATTTCCGTTCTCAATAAATATTTATTGACTTGATGTATATTTAGACATTCTAAACAGTCTGCTCAGGCCTTTCAGTATGAAAAGAAATACAGGGATGTCTGTCTATAACAGTTTAACTTGTCCCATGCTGCAGAACAAGAGTCTCTTCTCTATAGAGAGAAGTATTTATTTATGAAAGCTATGGTGCCAATAGCAGGTGTGGGAGTGTCATAATTAAACTGTTTCTTTTGAATTTGTTTTTAATGCTATTTAAATATTTTATAACATCTAAATTTTCTTTTATTTTTGTCAATGTATTTGACAGCTCATTTAATTTTTATAAATCCTTACTATTCAAGATAATCTAATTTTACAAAGAAATCAAACATCAAAGAATAAGTGCATGGTCCTAATATGTAGTAAATGAAAAATGGGAAAGGAGAGGCAAGGAGTCAAGTTTTTGCCTTACCACTCTCGCCTTTGCTATAAAATTTTTAAGATCAACTAGACATTTTAAGATTTGCAAATTACCTCCTGGAAGCAAATTTGATACCCCATTATGCTCTCACCTCCACGTCTTTGTGATGACATCCAACACCCCATTGTAAACCATGTGCTGATCCTGGAGACGAGCTCTCACCACTTGATATGGGTATGTTGCCGCTACAGCGAATATTTTGGATAGCGCTGCAACAGATATATATTCTACTGTGCTCTAAAAGAGACAACACAAAACATTTTTCCTTAGACAGGGTATCTTCAAAAATATAGAAGTTAAAATTATATAAGAAAACAAACATTTAAGATGCTATTTCCCCTCTTAACACAGGCTCTGTGCAACACAGGGTCTCTATTTCTAGCATCTGCATGTCATTAGCCTATAAAAAATGTAAACAGCAGCAGTCAGTACACATCTTCATAGCAATACTACTGAAATAAGTATGACAAAACTTTCATCTATTAAATTGTGTCCATAAAAGTAAATGATATTATTTTCAAGAATCATCTTACCAACTGAGCTTCTGGTACTCTGTTGACATGCTGGTTGTATTTCACTTTCAACAATTCATATGCCATAAACTGAAGAGCACCATGTGATGTTCCAAATAGCCCAGGAACAAATCCCTAAAAGGGAAGAATTTAAAAAGAAAAACTAAACTACCCAAGTTCCCAAGAGACCACAGCTTTCAGGGAGAGGGGTAGGAATGTGTGACTTAATGAAAGTATTAATGGCAAAGTTTTAGACCATCTTTCTCACACTCACCTGTGACATGATGTTACATCTTACAATAATGAGATAAACATTTTAAAGTACAATACAATATTATAAACTAAATTACAATTTTTATTAAATTGTTTCTTGCCTAAGCTTGGTTTCTTTTTAGGACTACAATTCATTTAGAACTCAGACATTAGAGCTAAGGGAATTTATAACTGTCAGTTATTCAAAATATATTGATAATAATTTATTACCTTATACAATCCACGCACACCTTCATATTTATATATTTTCACAAGTGTATCAAACATTCCTTTATATTGTCGCTGTGGGGGGTTAACAACACCATTGTACTGTAACATAAGGCGAGTTTTTGTTACCCATAATGGATTTGTAATGCAGAGAGTCATGGCTCCTAAAATCAGATTTAAATAAGATTACTTAGCATACAGATACTCCATTATGACAACCCAAATTAAGAACAGTGATTGTATGTGAAGAATAAGGCTACAAGGGTTACATTCACAACAGTGAGATGTGGTCACTGAGACAGTCGTAGGGTAAGCGGTAGACAGAAATTCTGGGGGTCATAAAAACATCCTCATGCAGTTAGTGTGAGGCAAATTAACAGTGTGATAGAAATGTAAAAACCTTCCTCTTTGAGGTGTGAAGATAAGAGAGATGTCCTGGCTCTTAAATAATGCGGCCCCTTATAGAGAAATACTGGGGGGTGAAGAGGGAGCTCTGATAAGGAGATACAGATATGTAGGAGTAAGAGCTGGCATAATCCAGAGGGGTTGAAGATTAGGGGGAAAGGACCAGGAATCTAGCACTTGAATAATCTGTGCAATGTGCACACATATATTCACCCCAACTTTAGCACAATCTTCCTTAAGTCTGTTCAAATAGCTCTTATACCTCAAAAATGAACTATGTAAAAATAGTTTATATTCTTTATAGAAGTGACAATTTTATAGTCATCCAGTTAAATTTCTTTATACCAAGTTTCCTAAGTAGTCCTTTATTCAACAAATATTTTGACTGCTGTTATGATTCAGGTCCTGCTAGTGGCTAGGCATTCAAAATTGAGTAAGACAGTTCTTGACTTAAACCAAAACAGTAAACATTAAGAAACCAAGGTATATACAAAGTTTCAAAATAGGAGTTAAGAAGACTATGGGTTTTACTTTGTTTTCCCCTTTTGAATATTATATATACATGAGGCAATTAAACAAGTTTACTGCAATAAACTGCAATACGAAAGCTGAACTTATCCTTTAATTGATATTATACTGAATTGTCTTTGAACTACTTCAGATTCATAACTTTTATGAATTATATTATCCTGTATAAGTATGGTACCTTTAAATATAGTTAGGTAATCAAAAGAATACCTACTTTCAAAGAAATTTAATATGAGAACAGATTAGTATAGTTAGATGTGCATAATTGCACATAATTGCAATCTGATGTTCAAAGTGAAATAAAACAAAGTGAAATAAATAAAAAAAAGTGAAAATCAAGTGAATATCAAGTTCGAAGTTGGCATTTTATATTTCATACATTGACTTACCAGCTTCAGCAGCTGACAGGAGGTATTCTGTTGCCTCTAACTGTTCAGCTCTTCCTTCTGTCTTGTATGACTTGATGGCATTATAGCTGAAAGAAACAGGAGCAGTTTGATAAAAATCTGCATAGGTTTCATAAAGCAGTAAAGTCTATTTTAAAGTGCGTGTAACTTAACTAGTAGCCCAAAAGTAAGTCAAAGCTCAATCAATGTAACCTCAAAATGAGATCGTTTTTGAGAATGGATTTCCTGGAAATGGTTTACTATGAGATTATATCATCCTTATTCTCCCCCCATCATGTATACGGCTAGCAAAACATATGGAAAATATTTAATCACATCAGTTAATAGAAACAACAGACAGGAAAACTGGGAGGAGGAGGATATAGAGTTGGTGCAGTGACTGGACAGAACATGCAAAAGAGACAAAAAGGACATCTAACAAATAATGTTCAGGTACTATGGTTGGCAATTCTGATAAAACACTCAATGGATCTTTCTCTACAGACTAACAAACCATAAGCAGCAAACAAGTGACTTAACCAAAGAACATAGAAAGTATCTAAGAGCCTAAGAAAATATGAGATCACAGAAGGCTTTTGCAGGAGGAAGTAGCATTGAACTGGCATGGAGAATCAGGAAAACAGATGAATATGAGCATAAGTGAACAATAAGGGTAAATGAGAAGAGAAGGAAAACTGAGCCACACGTGAGTGGCAGACTGACATTTGGCCTTCATTTGGCAGAAAATAGTTGCTAATGTTTTTTAGCAGGGGAATCAAATCAGTCTACATGAGCGACAGATCCCACTTATTCTTGGAAGAAGACTAGAGCTAAATACTACGGGGCTAAATCCCCGTAGCTAAATCCTTTCAAACTTTACTAATATGATTTTTAACATGAAACGTGTATACTTTTATTAAGAAATTCTTATCAAATTAGCCTTAAATTCACATGGTCTTAGAAGCTGTTTGGAGAACCTGTCACTCTGAAATTCATAACAGAATAGAGTTTGTACATACAATTTCACCGATGTAAGTATGTCTCACAATGAAAATTTTAAAAATATTTAAATACTGAGACTGTATTTTATTCTGCTCTCCTTTAAAACTGTATTTTAAGATTGCTTTGGATACTGCCATAAAAACATGAGGAAGCAAGTAAAATACATGACACATAAAAGGCAAATATGCCATCTATTAAAACAAAGAACAGCATCCCTATTCCTGGACTGGGTTTCCTCCCTATTCGTGGACTGCAGGGTGGCACATGTTCCTCCATTCAGCGCCATTATGTTTTGTTCTCACGCTCTGGTACACTTAGTAAGTTGAAAGTGCCTGCCACAGGCCCTTTCTGTGGCTTCTTCAGTGACTATGCAATAGGAGTTATGAGCTGACAAGAGAGCAGGAGGTAAGAAGGAGTATGTTTCAAACTCAGCCATGCACTGGCTTTTTTTTCTTTTCCCAGGAGAGCTCTTGTACTGATACATATGATACATGTTCTTTCAAGGACCCAAGGTCTGTCTCCTTCTGCTTTTCCAACTTCATAGTGACTCAAATATATTTAGTAAGCCATATTCCTGAATTCATCTCACAGAAATGGCTTCTGTAAGAGTGTTTCTTCATCACATTCTTTCACTTTCTTCCTGTTAATGTCCTTTCAGTCCAAATGTCTCTGATGGAGAGTGAAGCTAGTAAGCTAACAGAGCATAATACTAATAAGCCATTTTGTACTTTTGACCCTTCCAATTCAGAGAAACTTATCAAATGATTCTTCCTCATCAATATGTAAAAATTACTGAAAACAAATAAAAATCATTTTACTTAATACTGTAAAATCTTCTAGATCTACTCACAAGAAAAAGTAGAGTCCCCAGGATAAACCTGCACCCCACACATTTGGGGTCACTCCTTGGTAAAGTCCCCGGAGTCCATCGATTTTCCAAATGGTAATCAAGCAATGCACAATTCCTTTATATTTCGGTCTCAGTTCCAATCCATCACTCACTGCAGTCAAGGATACACAAAGTCAGGTGAAAAACAGTTCTTGCTTTGTGTCACATATAAAGATAAACTATGACACTCTCAGTCAAATGAAGGAGATACAAAGAATGAAGAAAAGCTTTTTTGGCAGAGAAAATTATTTAATACATTAAAATTAACACATTCATGATTTTATTCAAGTTTTAAGTGCTTAGCATGCCCTCAATAAAAACTTGGATTTAAAAAAGCTACTAATTCCACACCTGTGAGAATGGCCCACATCAGAAAAAATCATAAACAAGTGGTGGCGAGGATCTGGAGAAAAAGGAATCCTTGTACAATATTGGTGGGAATGTAGACTAGTCCAGCCCTTATGGAAGTGTACGGAGGTTTCTCAGAATATTAAAAATAGATCTACCATATGATCCAGCAATTCCACTCCCAGGTATCCACCTGAAGAATACAAAAGCACTGATTCAAAGGCATTATGCACGCCTATGTTCATTATAGCACCATTTACAACAGGCCAAATTATGGAAACAATCTAACTGCACAAGGGCAGAGGACTAGATTAGGAAGATGTACACACACACAATGAAATACTACACAGCTATGGAAAATATAAATTTTTGCCATTTGCAACAACATGGATGGAACTGGAGGGGCAAGTGAAATATATCAGGAGAAAGACAAACACCAGACAGTATCACTTAAATGTGGACTATGGAGAAAAAAAGGGGCAAATAGACAAACAAACTCTAGAAATCTACCTGCAGAACTGAGGCTACCAGAGGGGGAAAGGTAGAGGGGCACAATGGTGGACTAAGGATGTGTTGGTGATAGGTCTGGTAACATACATCTGAAGGGTATGATCTAGAGCTCTAAATCATTTACAATGTTTTAAATAAATGTTATCTCAAAAATGAACTTGTATAAGGACCTGAGGAGTGACAGTAAAGAAAATGCAGAGCACAGAGGTAAATTATTTTCCTGTAAATTCTCTTTTACCCTTCCTACAAACACTACCACCACCACCCACCATCACCACATACACAAGAATCTATTCCATCCATTGTTTTCTTACTCTCAGAAATTCTAAATTAATAAAATGATAGGGTAAAGCAAAAATAAGTTAACCAATTTGTTGGGGTAATTCAAATCTATTTTGAAAGTTTAAGAGCTAATACTTATTTAATTAACTTTAAACTTCCATTTTGCAAAGGACTCTACAGAGAAGAAATTGAAGAAGGATATACTTGTGGTACAGAGTTAATATATCTAATATATAAGAAGCAGTCACAAGTCAACAAGAAAATGACAGGTCCTAAGAAAAATGGGAAAACTGTATGACTGATAAATTGCAGACAAAAAATTTTAAAAAGGCAAGCAGCACTGAAATGGTGTTCAACTTCACTCACAAAACACAAGTAAAAACAGCTCTTTTTGCCTTTCAGATTGAGAACTTAAGGTTTGTTAATGGCCATGTTGGTGAGGGTGTAGGGGAATAGGCACGTTCATACCATAACCCCCTTTTTTTAATAGTATGGTAGACAGATTTTTTTTTTAAAGATTTATTTATTTATTTATACAAGCACTGGGTACAGTCAGAAGTGCGGGAGGGTGAGAGAATTTGCCAGAGCCAGAGCGGGGAACAGAACAGCCAGAGAGACGAAATACACGGCTGAGGGGTGCAGCGGGCGTGGCAGGAGAGGTCTGTCACGCCATGTGGGACCCTCGCCGGTGGCCGGGGATCGAACAGGTGCTGCGGAGGCTGCCGGCAGCTTCGCAAGCTGAGCGCTCAACCACTGCGCCACCAGGGGAGGCCCGGTAGACAGATTTTTACTAGACAAATTTAAATGCAGTTATCCTTGACCTGGTAGTTACTCTTCTAAGACTACATCCTATAGAAATATCAGCTCAAATCTACAAAAATGTGCATAGCAGTTTCTTTGACAGCACAGATGAAAGCAATCTCAATATATACCAATAGGGAAATGTTTAAACAAATGATAACATACCTATACTATGGACTACTCTAATGTCTGATTATATTAAACATCATTAATTGAACATGAACATCATTAGTTTATTTTAAAACCATCCTCTACAACTGTATTTTTATATACGCTTGGGTATCCCTAGAAAAAGGACTGAACTAAAACACAGCATATGGTTAATAGCAGGTATCTTCAGGGAATGAGATTCCTTTAAAAAGCAAAATATGGACACTGTAGAAAATTTACAAAACATAGAAAGGAATAAAATTGAAAATAAAATCACCCACAATGCCACCACTCAGATATGACTGCTCTTATTGTGGTGTATTTCCTCACCTTTTTTGTCTATGAATGGAAATTTCGTTTCTCTTTCTCTAAGCCACACCTTTTTGTCAACCTTTGTATCTGTGTAGATAGATGTGACTAACAAAAATTGCATGTGGATATTCTTTTTTAAAAAGATTTATTTATTTATGCATATGAGAACTGGGGTACAGGCCAGAGGTACAAAGGGGGTGAGAGGATTCAACAGACAGAGTGGGGAACACAATAGGTGGATTGACTGAAATACACTGATGAGGGGGCAGCAGCGGGTGAGCTAGGAGAGAAGTCTGCTGTGCCATGTGGGTGGCTCCCTGGCCAGGGATCAAACTTGTGCTGGAGTGGCTGTGGATAGCTTGACAGTGCTGAGACTTAACCTCTTGTGCCACAAGGGAGGCGCCTGCACATGGATATTCTGTTTGAACAGATCTAAAATTGAACTAGGGGTTTTCCCCACTCAGCCAGAAGCTGCTCTTATTCTAGTGTTCCAAATGGCTTAATAAATGGCACTACCATCTATGCAGATGCTCAAGTCAGAGACCTGAGGGCCCTCCATAAACCCTCTACCCTTCACACATTCTTATCAATTAAGAAGACCTTTTGATTGTGCTGATTGATCACTCTCTCCTGGACTTGTATCTCAGATCACGTGCCATCATCCTACTTCAGAACTCCATTTCTCAACTACTGATAGCAATTCAATTTAAATTAGTCTTTCTGCCTGCAGTTTTGCGGCAAAGGACTTGGCTGCTCCCAACCCCCAAATTACTGCATTGTAGATTAAATAATCTTTCTAGAAACACAGATTATTTCAAAAGTCACTTATTAAAACTATTCTACAGCACGTAAGATAAAGAACACACCTCCTAACACAGTACTTAGGAGTCTCATCACTCACTTGGGTCTAGAGGCCCGTCTCTATTGTCTCCCTGCACGTAACGCTGCCTTACTGAAATTACTGTATGGATTCATTGACATTTACATTTTAAAACATTTGGTGAACATTGTTAGAATGTTCGAAAACTTTCAGTCCTTACAGTCTCTGACCTTAGAGTTTTTGCACAGGTGCTATGAACATTCTGTCCTCTCACTCACCTACTCCTCCATTTTAGCTTTGATTCCTTTTTCAGGCCTCAGTTTAATCATTTCACTGGGGGGAGCTTTTTCCTATCCCCTAAATGAGGCCATTTCTTGGCTCCCACAGCATACTATATTTTCCCTCCTATAATAAAACATCCTTACTGCACTTATTAGCTTTTTGTTCAATTATTCTGGCTTCCCAGTAGGAAGATGCTATTGGAGCAAAGACTACTACTTCAATGCAACATTTCTATTTCTGATGTTGTGCTTGTACATTGCACATTCTAGTATATGTTTTTCTTTTTTTAAAAAAGATTTTATTTATCTATACATAAAAGAACTGGGCACAGGCCAGAGTTGTGGGGGGGGGTGAGAGGGTTCACCAGAGACAGAGCGGGGAACAGAACAGGCAGACTGACTGAAATACACTGCTGAGGGGAGCAGCGGGCGAGACAGGAGAGGTCTGCTGCACCATGTGGGCTGCTCCCTGGCCAGGGATTGAAGTCGTGCTGCAGTGGCTGTGGTGAGCTTCATAGGTTGGGTCTTAACCTCACGTGCCACTAGGGAGGCCCCTGTTTCTTTAATATATCCTGAATACCTCCTGTTTCCTGTCCAGATCCACCGTTCACCCTTCTCTGTCATGTTCTGCCCCAGAAGTCATCTAGTTTTTAGTTGAGTTGGGTTAGTTGGGTACCCTGACAGGAGATCAGATGAATGGAAGAGAGCAGACACAGATATCTGCAGGCATACCTTGTTCTAGCTTCACTTTACCGCACAGTATCTGAAGATACAGTGTTTTTTTCACAAGCCCTTCTGCTAGTAAAAAGATTATGATCTGAAGGCTCAGATGAAGGTTAGTATATTTTAGTAATAAAGTTCACTGGTCACTACTCTACTATGAGGGAAATGGAAAAGAAGAATGGCAAAGAACCATTATTTACCATGGCTACAAAGGGAGGAAAACCTACATCTTTCTAATTAACCTGACAATGTTACACCAAGTACACTACGCTTTGTGAGAAACCTGAGTTTTGTATCTAACTTCTCTAGAAACTCTACTCCTTATTTTCCTGCTTCACCTCCAATCTCTTCCTTGCTTTTAGTACTTTCCCCCCAAAATATAAACTCTCTTAAGTATCTCCTGAGAGTTTCCTCTTTGATCCTATTTACTCCTTATCAGTTAAGCTTCTGGAGGAGAGAGCTACAATTTTAGCTCCAAAGCTTCTCAATCCACTGCAGTTTGGTTTGGGCTCCACAAAGTACTGCCAAGTGTTCTCTAGATAGAGATCTTCAAGTGCACTTTCGAGCCTCTTTTTTTACTAATCCTTCAGTAGGACCTGATATTGTTTACCCCCTCAAACACTCTTCTCTGGACTAGTTTCATACTGCACTTTTCCTGATCTCCCTCTTCTTTAGCCAACAAATTTCCTCTGCAACCTCGCTCTTTTCTGCCCATCCTTTAAATGTTGATTTTCATAGGCACTCTTTGCACTCAGCAGGGATAGTTCTCAAATCACTCTGCAGTTTCACTTGCTACCCCTGTGCTACAGTTTTTGCATTTTTTGAAGAACTGATTTCATTTCTAACATCCAAACTTGGCTTCCGTGTTTTTTTTTTTTTTTTTTGCATGGCATGAAAGAGGCATAATTTGGCAGCTTAACTTTCTGGTATCACTTTCATTTCCACTTCTAACATCTGACCCTTTAACAATGAATGCCAAGCGCCGTACTTATGGTTTCAAACTGACAACACGCTATGCAATCAGTTTGAAATCCCGGTGCCAACACTTCCTGTGTAATCCTGAGTAAACTACCTGATTTTGCTGTCCCTGAGTTTTCTAATCCATGAAATGGGAGTGATAATAGAACCTAACTCTAAAAATTATAAAGGACTAAGTGAGTTAATACATATAAAGACCTTAAAGCCATGCAAACATTCAATCGGAAACAGTTTATTTATGTCACTGTGGATTTTGTTATACTATGATTCATATAAAACATGACAATGTTATTTTTGTTTAGGCTAGACTCTACATTTTGATTCCTTGATTAACTTACTGGCTTTCAGATGTTAGAATATTTCTATTTTTTTACTTAATTCATATTATTTCTTGGGGAGGGGTCTTTCTTATCATTCTTGATTTAAAGTTATATCTTAAAATTAGAAGGGGATGCCACAATCTCCTCTCTGACTTTGATATCGTATATCGGATTATCTTCTAGCCTGTCACCCAAGCTCTGAACTACTTCCTATTATCACAGTTTCTTTTTTTTAAATAATTTTATTTTATTTTTATTAAAAAATCAGTATTTGCCATTTATTTACATAACTACATAATTTTGGGAATACAACTTTGCACCTCAACATGTACACATGCTCCACTCACCCCCAAAGTTCCACTGCCAATACACTGTCACATTACTCCACCATCTTCTCTGGGATCCACAATATTTTTCAGAGTCTACGGTTTTTTTTTGTTGTTGTTGTATCATGCCAGTTTGTTTTCTTTGGCAATTTATATTACACAAATGAGTGAAACTACCTGATAACTGTCTTTTATTTTCTGACTTATGTCACTTAATATAATCATCCATTCATTTTTTCCCCCCAAAAACAGCATTTCATCTTTTTAAATAGCTGAGTTGTGTTCATTTCTAAGTACCCATAGAACCTGTGTAGATTCAGTTATTTATTCATAATTTTAATAGCCTACCTCTACTCATATTGTGGTCATTTGGATTTATTTCATGTGGCCCCTAGTTTTATGTTGTCTAGAATTATCTTCTATATGATTAAGTCTTGAATTAGAATTAAGACTGTAAGTTACCCGAGGGCAAGAACTCTGTTTAGGTGCTCTGAATCGCATACAGCAATCCACAAATAATATGAGGAAACAAATATGTATCTGGTGAATCAAATCAAATCACTTCTGCAGCTCTAACAGTAGGCAGGACTTTACTTCTAGTAAAGACTTAACTGTCGTGAAATAATTTCCAAATAAAGTTAGCAAAGACTTTCTTGAAACTATCTTTTCCAGAATTTAGTGTTGACTTTAACAACCAAAGGGTTTCGTTAATTTTGAAATACTTAATCCATGAATCTAAATAAGAAGAATAGTATTTGAATTCTAGTTCATATTTCTTCACAGGATCTCCTTCCACACTTACAAATGCCAAAAAACAAATCTTCAAGCAAATTCTACACCAAATGTATTTCCAACCACCTGCTGAGGATTATGCCTCACCCCAAGCAATCGCACTTTCCTCTCAGGGGGAGTTGCCAAACACGTGGTTACCCTGAGATATCAAAGTACCTCCAAAGGTGAATGATTTGCACGTGTGAAACCTTAGTCCTAAAATGTGGCAATCCCGTTCACATCACAATCCAGACTGAGCCCCACATCCCACATCAATGAGGGTTTTCCCCAGACTTCTCTCTCCAAAGCTCCCGCATATCTCAGTCTTGGGGAACCGGGCCCAGAGCGACCAGACCCCTTTTCCACGTTCCCCTTCACCAAATCTCGTTCCAGGTGAGCATCCTCAAGCGTAGAGGCAGGGGGCTCAAGGCCTCCTTCTCCGTCTTTACCACCCCGACCCGGGTGAGAGGAAATTCAAGGAGCCCGGGGGCCGAGCAGGCTCTTACCAGCAAAGCGAATCTTCACGAGGTCGAGCGGGTGCAGCGCGAGGTTGGACAGGACCCCGCCGCTCACGCCCGCCACCAGGTTCTCATATCGGACGTGGCGAAACACCGCGCCCCACGCCGACGACCCAGACGCCGGCTGGCCCTGGCCGGTCATAGGCTCGAGCGCCGCGGAGGTCGGGCGAGATGCTGTGGCCGCCACTGTGGCGACGGCCGTCGTCCCGGCGCAGAAACCGCGGGGCGCGAGCCCACTTCCGGGACCGGCGCCCGAACGCAGACGCCGAGGCGCGGGAACGCAGCCCAGAGCCCGCGGCGACAGGCAGCGAGAGAGGGGCACCCGCACTGCACCCCCGCGGCGAGCGCGAAGGGGCGGGGCGCTCGCCTCCGCCCACACCCCGCCCCGCCTCGCTCCGCCGGGACCGTAGCGGGCGCGCCGGCACAAGGCCCGCCCCCGGCCAACCTTCGTCCTGAAAACTACGGAGCGCCGCAGGGTCAACCGCACCGCCGGCTTCCGGGCCGTGCGGGTCACGTGACAGGAAGTAGCCTTAAAAGCGGAAGTAGCATGTGCTGGAGGAGGCGGTGGTAGCCGCGCTTCGCTGGAGAGTCTCCTCGGGACCGGGGAGCTCGCAGCCAAGATGAAGGTGAAGATGCTGAGCCGGAACCCGGACAACTATGTCCGCGAAACCAAGTTAGACTTACAGAGAGGTGAGACGCGTCAGGAGGGAGTCCGCTAGCCGTGGATCTGGCCTCCGGTACTACCTAGTAAAGCTGGGGAGACTGGCGCTTCAGTCTTTTTTTTAAACAATATTTGCTTGCCCCCCACCCCCTCAGATTGAGTCTCCGTAGAGTTTCCTTCCCCAAGGCACCCCTGCACCATCACCACAGTCCCTTGTGCTTCTCCCTCCCTCCTCTCCTGCAGTATGTCTTTGATTTATAATTGTCCGTTCTTGCTTTGTTGTGTTTTGTACTGTTGTTATTTTTTTTACACTGATGTCTTATTTGGTTCTCCTATATTCCGGTCGTAAGTGAAACCATCCGATATTTTTCTTTTTCCTTCTGTCTTATTTCACTGAGCATAATTCCTTCTGGCTCCATCCACGTTGCTGCGAATGGCATGAACTTATCTTTTTTGATTGCTGAATAATATTCCATTGTATATATGTACCACATCTTCTTGATCCAGTCATCTATTTTTGGGCATTTGGGTTGTTTCCAGGTTTTACCTACTGGAAATAGTGCTGCAATAAACATAGGTGTACAGGTGTTCTTTTGAATCACTGTTTTTGTGTCCTTTGGGTAAATCCCTGTAGTGGAATTGCTGGATCGATCGTATTGTAGCTCCATTTTTAGTAGTCTGAGGAACCTCCAGACAGCTTTCCATAGTGGTTGGACCAGTTTGCACTCCCACCAGCAATGTAGGAGAGTGCCTTTTTCACCACCTCCTCGCCAATATTTGTTGTTGCTTGTTTTTTTTGATATGTGCCGTTCGTACTGGTGTAAGGTGGTAGCTCAGTGTGGTTTTGATTTGCATTTCCCTGTTTATAAGGGATGTTGAACATTTTTTCATATGCCTGTTTGGCCATTTGCACTTCTATTTCTCCAAAGAGGAATTGCAAATGGCCAACAGGCAAATGAAAAAAATGTTCAACATCCCTTATAATCAGGGAAACAAACGCCTCAGTCTTTTTAACCCTGTTTCCTTTCACTATGTAAACTTTGTACTGAAGAAGGCCTTTGCGATCCCGGATAGCAGATAATTTTTCTTCGATTCCTTTTCCTAAGAGCTGTGTCTAGTGCGAAAGTTTGTTAATGGGAAATGCTTCCGCCGCCTCCTTGCCAGCTGCTTTTGTCAGGTTCTTGTTGTTGAAAAGTAGAATTTGAATAAGCCACACTCGTAGTCTAAAGCGTTTACCTGTTAAACAGGCTTTTTAAACTTCCCTTCTGTTCTTTCTTTTTACCACTTTACTTAACATTACCTACTTGTGGGAAGAGGCAAAGGTGAAATGTGAAGCCATCCATTTTCTTTGAACTCTTGTGGAGAAGTTTGGTGGGGGAATGACTAAATGAGTGTTATTTATATCCATTAAAATGTTCACTGCTGGGGCCTCCCTGGTGGCGCAGCGGTTGAGCACTGGGTTGCAAACCTGCCCCACAGCCTCTGCGGCGCCGGTTCGATCCCCAGCTGCTCCCCAGCCACCAGAGGAGGGTCCCACATGGCGCGCAGACCTCTCCTGCCGCCCGCTGCTCCCCCCAGCAGTGCACCTCGGTTCTTCTGCCTGCTCTTCTCCCCGCTTTGGCTCTGGTGAATTCTCTCACCCTTCCGCGCTTCTGACTGTACCCAGTGCTTGTATAAATAATAAATAAATAAATCTTAAAAAAAAATTATTAAAAAAAATGTTCACTGCTTATGAATTATTGCTCATGATGTCTAAATGGCGAAGGGCCATCAACGTGTGAACAGACTTTTCTAAGTGAAAGAATAATAGGTGCAAAAGGTTTTAAGAAAGGAATGAAGCTTAAGAGAAGGGCCATGTCATTGGAGTTTGAGTAAATTAAACCATAGTAGATGAGGCTGAAACAGAATTTCACTATATTACTTGAGTAGTAGAGATTATCAACTTATCTTCGCTCACAGCATGTTTACAGGTTAGATGACAAAACTGTGTTTCTGAAATGCCATATGTCACTTGAACTTGATATCATCCCTAGTCCTTGAATCTCTGGCTCCAACTTCCTATCTCTTTGTCACTCTACCTTTCTCACAAGTCACTTATATATACTTTTGCCAAGCTGAGTGCATTTCAGGCATCGTTTTTCAGACTTCCTGTGGCACACATCCTTACCTAATTTAGCGTGTTCATCTGGGAAGCTTTCTCTGAACAATAATCTTTCCCTGATTATCCTCTATGATTGTTTGATCCCTCCCCCATCCCAGCTCTAAAATCTCCCCTTTTATGCTTCCATCACATATTTTACGCTAATATTTTACTGTCTTGCAATTATGATTTTGATTATCAGCCTTTCCTATTAGACTGATCTTGCAGAGAGAGGGAATTTTGCTTCTATATCCACAGTATGTAGACACACATGGCACATAGTTGCTTTATAAATGTTAAAATGAATCAGTGAGTGAGTGATTGGTGGTAGAATTTTAAAGTTAGTAAGTTATTAGTTTTCTGATCTTGTTATTAAGAATCTTTATTTTCTGTAGCATTTTCCTGTGATATTTTCTCATGAAAATGCTAATAGATAGCAAAATGGAAAAGTAGAAGTGTTGAAACTAAAACACAAAATAAGGAAAACATTTATCTTTATTATGTATTATCTTTCATTCCTATTTTCTTGTAAGTTTTGTGCAGTATTTAGTGTGTATGGATATAGCTATGAGTGGATAGCTGTGATATTCTCAGTGCTTGTGACATATGTCAGATGCTCCATATGAATATGTTGAATGTCTATTGATGACTGAGTGTATGAACTTAGAGGCATGTAAGACCATGGTGATTTGAAAGCTAATAGAGAAGATAGGAGATTTATGCTGAGTATTTTTTTTTAAAGATTTATTTATTTATACAAGCACTGGGTACAGTCAGAAGCGCAGGAGGGTGAGAGAATTCATCAGAGCCAGAGCGGGGAGCAGAGCAGACAGAAGGACCCAGGTACACTGCTGAGGGGAGCTCAACCGCTGTGCCACTGGGGAGGCCCTATGCTGAATATTTTTAAAAGGTGCACATCGTTTGTTTAGATAGATTTGGATGGAAGTTGGAGTACATTCTTGGTGGAAAAGTTGACTTCTGCAGGGAAGTGGGAAAGTGGAAGGCAGTTTTAGGCGACAGTTGATGCACTAGTTTGGCTGGAGTTGAGTTTTTGAAAGTGCTTAAAGCAGAAGTAGCTTGGGACCAGATTGTGGCAGTCCAGTAAGGAAATTGAACTTCATTCCACTGACCAGAAGACTCTATAATGAACTGAGCTATTTATTTCAGAGTGGGGAAAAACAATACTTCAATTTATGTTTCTTTTCTTAAAAACAAATCCTTATATAATTGGATTGACACTGACAGCCATGTTACATGTTCATGTCTTATATATGATACTTCAGGTAAAAAGACTGGAGGGTTGATAAAGGTGTATTTGCTTCTACCTTCAGAATATGACAGCCTATTACCATTTATATTCATTAGACAGTTATATTAAACAATGAAATCTTAATAATTACGTGTCAAGTGTGGGGAGAACCATGTCTTTTTCCCTGCAGAGGTTCCTTGATTATATTCTGACAGAGCTCTTAGAAAAGTTGTAGACTATAAAATTTTTATATTTTTTGGAAACACTTAACTAAGATCCATTTTTAGCCATGAGCAAGGAAGTGATCACTTTTCTTAAAATTTTATGCTATGGAGAGATCCTCTTGAAAATTTATGTTTGGAAAGGTTTCCAATGTTAAAAAATAAGTTGTACTGAAAATGATGTGTCATCTATAAAAATTAATTTTTGCCTAAATGAAAAAGTTGGCAGAGTGATCTATGTTGTTGAGTCTTTTTTTAGCTGTTAAAATTATTAAAATGCTAGTTATTTGGAAGAACAGCTGTCGACACTAGAGTAGATAAAGTTTTTCTCCATAAGCTTCAGAAATAACCTTTGCAAAATGGATGAATGGGAACTGAAATGAAATAAATTTAGCACTGTACCCTTTTTTTTTTTTAAAGATTCATTTATTTATTTATACATACAAGCACTGGGTACAGTCAGAAGCGTGGGAGGGTGAGAGAACTCACCAGAGCCAGAGTGGGGAGCAGAGCAGGCAGAAGGACCGAGGTACACTACTGAGGGGAGCAGCGGGCAGCAGGAGAGGTCTGCGCGCCATGTGGGACCCTCCTCTGGTGGCCGGGGAGCAGCCGGGGATCGAACCAGCGCTGCAGAGGCTGCGGGCAGCTTCGCAACCCAGCGCTCAACCGCTGCATCACCAGGGAGGCCCTGCACCTTACCCTTTTAGGTGAACCAATCCCACTCTTTGACAGGTTCGCAGTGACTGAAATCACATCAGAACTATGCAAATTGAAGAGGTATTTCTGGTATGCCTGTGGTCCCCATAACAGGATACCATGCAAAAGCGAGTTCTCCTTGTATCTTTTTTATATATGGTAGCTGTCAAAACTAAACATTGAAATAAATTGAAGTTAAAACCTTCGAGTCACTCTATCATAGTGTTGAGGTTGGTTTGTTTTTTTTTTAAACAAGCATCTTTAATCACATGTTCTGATTATATAAATATACACATGTTGAGGTCAAAGATCTGCTCAAAAATTGTTACTAATGGGGCACACAATCAAGAGTTGTAAGGCTACCACTATTGGGAACCCTTGAAAGTGTCTGAACAGGCAAGTGATATGTAAAAAACTGTGTTTTAGGATTTATCTGATTTATTTAAACTGCTCCCAAATAGAGTAGTGATGATTTTACAATATTCCAAATGCAAAGTAGTAATGACCAGAACTAAGTTACTATAGGTAGAAAAAGAAAAGGAGGAATGAATAAGACATATTTCAAAGGGGTGAAGTTGTAGGGTAAGAAGACACATTTACTTTTAGACTTTGAGTATTTTTTAAACATGTGGGCTTAAAATGATTTCCTAAGCATACATATTAACAGAGATATGTTTGGTTGCATAGCTTAATAGTTAAGAACATGGATTCTGGAACCAGATTGCCTTGGTTTGAATTCAGGCTCCATCATTTAATAGACAGATAACCTCTTGGTGCCTCAATTTCCCCACTTATAAAGTGGGGAATAGTAATAAAATAATCCATAGGGTACTGTGGAAATTAAATGAGTTAATAGAAAGTATTTGGAATAGTGGCTGGCATATGGTAAACTCTTTTTTAAGTAAATAAACATAGAAAGTGTCCAATAAATAGTAGCTATAATCATAATCACAACATTGTATACCAGTGGTCAGTACGATGATTAGGATGAGATTAATAGTTCCTGCCCACAAGGAGCTTAGAATTCAGTTTGACAAACATGTCGTGCATGTTTGTGCAAGTCGGCACTGTGCAAGGCACAAGAAGTGCAAATGAAGACAATAGTGGAGGCAGTGCCCATGAAAGCTTACAGCCCATATGAGGAGTACGGGAGTTGGGTTGTGCAGAGAGAATCTCATTATTTTGCAAGGCATTCCATGATTTTCTGGTAACTTTGGAAAGGTTCTGAATGTCATGTCAACTTTTGTGTACTTCACAATGCTGGATGTACAACAGTGGCTATTGAAGGCTTATTGAATAACAAATTGAAGGATTATCTGAAGACCACAGGAGATATTAAATGTGAAGAATTTTACTAAGAGTTGTTGTATTTATTTCAGTTCCAAGAAACTATGATCCCACCTTACATCCTTTTGAAGTCCCACGAGAATATGTAAGAGCTTTAAATGCTACCAAACTGGAACGGGTATTCGCAAAACCATTTCTTGCGTCCCTGGATGGTCACCGAGATGGAGTTAATTGTTTGGCAAAACATCCGAAGAGCCTGGCTACTGTCCTTTCTGGGGCATGTGATGGAGAGGCAAGTGTCACTCTAGACATTAATATTTTAAACTAATGATAGTTTTATTACAAATATTACATTCCATTAGTTTTGAGATCCTATGGGTTGTAATTGGTTTGATTTCACTTTTTTGTCTCCCATTTTCTTTTAATTCTCAAGACTAAATTCTGTTTAAATTAGTAACTTCAAAGGTTTTGGATCTAAAATTGGGAAATTGAAAATACAGTAGCGTAAGATTCAATTTGATAGTAAATAATAAATCGTGTTTACACTAAAGATATTTAGGTGTGAGTTTTTTTCACAGAGAATTGTTTCCTATTTTGGTAAGGAAAGAAAGCTTTGAAACACTAAACTAAAATCAACAGAGTATTTAACAGTTTGAGTTTTCTTGTTGATATACTTATCCATCTGCCTTGCATTGTTTAAATTCAGAGGATGTTGTTTTCAGCTGATAGTGATTCATAGCCTTCTCAGTACTGAATTTATTTTTCTCGGAATGTAGTACCCCTGTGCCTGAACATTTCATATTTATAGTTCACTGTAATTTCCTTGTATGTTTTTTCATAGGTCAAAATTTGGAACTTGACTAAACGAAAATGTATCCGTACAATACAAGCCCATGAAGGTTTTGTTCGAGGAATATGTACTCGCTTTTGTGGGACTTCTTTTTTCACTGTAAGTGTAATGCAGTTAAGTCATTGACTCGTCAACATATCTAAGTCTGATCTATTTGAGCATTTCCCAAGTTCATATATTTGGTGTTTCACAATCCAAAATAATTTATTAAAAGCCTTGAAGTGTTATTTTTCTTTGTGTGGTCCAGCCTTCTCCGTAGTTTTTTTTTTTTTTTTTTTAAATAAACAGTTAACATATTGAACTAATATTCTGTAAAACATTAAGAAGTAAGTAGGATTCATGCACGGTGAAACTAGAAAGGTATTTGGTTTACTCTGAAAGATTTTCAGTACTAGGGATGAGTAATTGGTACTTTGTCAGATAGTAAATTATTGAGAATTTGTGTGTGTGGCAAAATACACATAATATAAAATTGTTATTCTAACCATTTTAAAATTTATCATTATAAACATTTCAGTAATTCACATCATTATGTAGCCCTCAGTACTCTCCACCTCCAGTGCTTTTTCATGACCCATTAAACAAAAACTCCCCATTCCCCCTGCCTCAGTCCTGGTAGCCACTGTCCTGTTTTCTCTCTCTGTATTTGAGTTTCTCATATAAATGGAATAATGTAATATTTGCCCTTTGTGTCTGATGTATTTCACTTAACGTAATGTCCTCAAGATTCACCCATGTTGTAGCATGTGTCAGAATATCTCTTCTTTTTAAGACTAAATGCTATTCTGTTTTATGCATACCATATTTCTTTAACCTGTAAATTTTGTCAGTGGACATTTGGGTTTTCTGTTTTTTAACTTTTTGAACATCGTACACATTTAAGTCCATTGAAAGGTTTTTAAAGGAGGGGGGTGACAATCTAAGTTATATTTGAGGTGATTAATTTGACAGCCCCAGTGATCAGTTTGAGGGGTGAAAATAGTGGAAAGTAGTTGTTAGGTTTAGAAACATTTTGGAGGTTAGCCACACTTGACAACTAAGGGGTACCTAGGAAGATGGTGGTTTCTGTTACAGAAATGGGGAAGCCATGATTATCAGCAAGTTCAGAGGAAAGTGGGAATGGGAAAGATCAGGTGTGATGAGATGGTGTGCCAGTGGGTGGATATTTAAGTAAAGATGTCCATCAGACTTTTACAGATGCAGATCTGGAGCTTAGGAAAATCAAAGCTTAGGGCTTGTCATCTTCAATACCAAAGTAATGATTAAAGCCATGGTATGGAATCACTGGGGGGTTGTCTGGTAGAAATGTGGAAATACAGAAAATCAGGGGAAAGTTTTGGTAGTGCTCACCTTTAAGAAGTGGGGGAAATCTCAAGGTAAGGCAGAAAACTAGAAGAGCCTGTGAATGAGCTTAATATCCTTTGTGTGAACTACTGCAAAGACTGGGAAAAATATTTTTGGAACATACACCTATGAAAAACGAAGTTAAATTTCCTGTAATTGTTCTCACACTTCTAACACTTGAGCAGTTTAGTATATATCTTCATTTGTCCTAACCTACATATACAACAGTATACACACATAATACTTAATCTTGTAAATCTTACTCAGTGGTGAATTTTTTTAAAGAACAGCTTGACTAGCCTTCTGGGTGCAACAGTTAGATTGCACAAGAATAACAAAGGGGAAGAGGTGACATCTGGGAAACCTGGTAGCCTAATTTAAATATTTGCAAGACTGTCTTGTAAATGAGGGAATAGAATTATTTGTTGTTCCATATATGTCATTCCATATTCTTATTGGAATAGGTATTACTGTTAGTAAGTTTTTGGTATAAGAAAGAACTTATTTGTTGTCAAAAACCAAAATAAGCTACTCTGCAGAGTATTTGATTGCTTTTCACAGCGGGGTGGGGGGGGCGGGGTACAAGCCCTCTATGACCCTGTATGTCCTGTGTTGTAGAAGGAATTGGTGGGCAGTTGGGGCAAACTGCAGCTGAATGTCTTCCTGTTGACTATACTTCTGGATATATTGATTAATATGCTTAGAGAATTTACTGTTGTTGTTTTTTTTTAATGCTTACAATGAATAAAGACTGAAAATGTTTCATATTATTTTTTTCTCCCCTTTTTTTCAAGTAATGTTCACTTAGTTAGAAATAAGACATGTGAAAATTGCTCGCTGCTGTAATTTCAGCACTTAATGTTTAAAAATGTTTACTATACAGTGTTGTGTAAGAGAAACCTTTATTACCTAAATTTCATACTATTGAAGATATCCCATTTCGTGGTACCAACCCATACTTTTTCAGCTTACTTGGCCTGCTTGGCTCTTCTCATTTTACTGGTTCCCAGTAGTATGGGTTTCTAGAATTGACTTTTGGTATGATGTTAATAGCTCAGATTCAGAATTGTTAATAAGGTACAGACCTATTAAATACTTGTTGGCTATTATAAAGATGTTATTAAAGATTCTGTTCATTAGCATCCCAACAAAGGAAATTCCTGTCTTGTCTTCTGAAACTTCTCTCCTAATCACTTTTCTAGTTTGAACTCATGGACACTATGAATTACTTTACAGAACTGTTTCCCTTCTTGAGTTTGCTGCAAGAAGACCTCTAAATTCACACTCCTTCAGTAGATAAATATGTATCTTTTTAATATTTTTATTTAAGAATAGGTTAGATTATATGTAATATAATATACAATAAACAGAATATCTTGAACTCATATGCTTGGTCCCCAACTCTGAATTACCGTAGTTTGTTGTCTTGCCTTGATTTAGGTGAAGATGCCTTGATTTAGGTGAAGATGCCAACAGTTCTACCCACATTGCTCTTTCACCATTCTTTGCAGATGTCAACACCATGAAAGGCAAAAAATGTCTTTATTAACATGAGAATAGTTTTTCCCTTGAAGACCCTTAAGGTATTCTCAGGATCCTTCAAAAGTCTGCCGTTCAGAGTTTGAAAACTGCTGATTTAATAGAGGAATTTTTGTTGGCATGTGTCATGTGAAGGATTTTATCCATACCAAATATACCTTATGTCAGATATCAGATTAATTCAAGCTTTGTTTGCAGTCCATTTTTCTCCATACTTTGAAATGCAATACTTCTTACAAATGCATTTTTGGCCATATTTTTTTACCTAATTTTGTTACTGCTCTTTTTTTTCTTTTGTACTATTCGTATTATTTCATATTCAATTTTATGTACTATGTATTTGTCATAAATCTTAACTAATGGTGGAAGATAAATGCATCAATAAATATACTGGAAAAATATGGTGTTATTTTTAAAACTGGGAATGTTAATAATTTGATCTATGCATTGACAAGTTTATAATTTATAAATGTTACTCATTATCATCATCATAATAAATATTTCTAGGTTGGTGATGACAAAACTGTGAAGCAGTGGAAAATGGAGGGACCAGGCTATGGAGAAGAGGAAGAACCATTGCATACAATATTAGGAAAGGTACAAAAATAAATTAACTCCTTTTTTTTAATTAAAATTCTCTTTAAATTGTCTTATAATTTTAATTTCCAGAAAAGATTTAAATTAAGAAATCAGAGACTTTATAATAATTATAATAATTGTCTTGAATAATATTTGATGCAATAAAGGCCTGCAGCTAAAGAATATGAACAGTTCTTCAGTGTTCATTGTAGTAGGGTTTGATTTATCTTTTTAGGTAACAGAGACAGTAAAACATTTGCTATAACAAGACTGGTGAGAATTCCAAAAGGGATAAGGTCAAGCATGTTACTTCAGTAATATGTATTCAAACTTCATTAAATAGATCCCATGTTAAAACATTTTTCTTTATTCCCAGATATATGACAAGAAACATCATTCCTTATTATACTGTGTTCTCCTTTAAGTAAAGACTTCAAAGAAATTTCTTTGTAAGCAGGAATTTTCCTTTAAAAAGAGTGTAGATAAATATATTTAAAGCATTATTCTATAGGCTTGAAGTATTAATGAAAGATATATTTGTAACAACTTTTTTGCTTTTAAAGACCGTGTATACAGGAATTGATCATCACTGGAAAGAAGCTGTTTTTGCCACATGTGGTCAACAAGTAGACATTTGGGATGAACAAAGAACCAATCCTATATGTTCAATGACTTGGGGATTTGACAGTATAAGTAGTGTCAAGTTTAACCCTGTTGAGGTAATGTTCTTTTTGAAATGTGTTGTACTTATTTCTTTATTTAATAATTTCAGCTCCATTTAGGAAACATTTGCATATGTAAGAATTTTCTGAATTTTCATGGTGTTCTGGTATTTGTTTACTTTTCCAGATTATATTCAAAATCTGATGCCTTTAGTGAGAATTCTCTACTTTTTAGCCAGATACCAAAAGTTAAGTACTGTGGGCACATGTACGTGTGGGGGTACCATCCAAGCACACACTACACTGTGAAACTTCAGTAGTCATGCCTTAAAGAGTACATCTTTATACCTTTAGGAAAATGTTCATTTTTTTCCTTAACTCTCTCAGAGGACAGAAGGATCATTGAGCATTATTTTTTCTAATTATTTATAAATAACGAGGGCATCAGTGTTTCACATTAAATGCGTTATTATTATTGTAGTCCATGGTGATTGCTTTTTTTGTTCAGCAGTCTGAGGTGTGATTTCTAATTCATAGCAAGTCTAAGAAAGAGTTGGATTAGCCACTATTTATTATTTATTCAGGTCCAAATTTAGGAAAGGAGACTGCCCTGAAGGCTAAGCTGGCTGGCTCTTGGAATCTAGACCTTTTTCTGAGCACACACCAATAGTCGAAATCATTGTTCAGAAGACACAATCAGGAAGCCTTTTCTGAAGAAATACAAGGAAATTGGTGCATGATTGTGGAAGTTTTCAGTAGATTATCATGTTAGATAGTATAAGAAAACATTCTCATAGGCAGATTTTATACTCTTAGAGAACCAAGCTGATAAAAGGAGGGAAGATAAGGTAAATCAAAGTAGCTGGTATAAAAATTGTTTGTGTCATGTATTGAAATATGTGATATCTACATGGCCTCATGGTGGTGCTTCTGAGATATCACAGTCAGAGGACCTCCTTCCTGCCCCCGCACATACCTGCTGCGTATACTCCTCTGGCACTGGCTCAGGGGCTCAAGTGGGGCTTGGCAAACTATGGTCTGTGAGCCCCTTTATGGTCTCTTCCTCCTTTTATTAGAATACAACCATGCCCTTTCACTTAGATGGTCTTGGTAGTTGCCATTACAGTAGCAGAGTTGAGTAAAATACTACAGAGAACATATGACCTACAAAGCCTGAAATGTTTGCTCTCTGGCCCTTTGTAGAAGTTTGCTAATCACTGGTCTAAAGTATCTACCTCTACCATATCTTTCTCATTTCATTCTCCATTTCTCTTCCTTATGTTCCCTTTGGATGTAGAAGTGAAACATGGCGTAAAAGGGCCAGCAGCTTTTCAGAGCCAGGCCAAGGTGACACTAGGCTGAAATAGACTGCAAACACGAGCAGTTGTGGGCACATTTTGTATCTTCCTTGCTATGAAACTAAGCTGGAACTGTATTTCCTGCTAACATGCCTTTGTATTGACCTTATATAAGTGACAATTTATCTCTTTATATGTTTTCTTTATTTTTAAAATGAGATTGTATCTTCCAGAGTAATTCATAGGACCATTGTGAATGTAATAGGTGATGATATATGTGAATATTCTTAAAAGGTGTTATCAAATTTAAGATGAAGTTATTACTATTAAAGAAATAACAGAAGGAATAGAGAGATACTGATTCCTTCTTTTCTAAGGATAGAGATCCTTTGCGTCTCTATTTTGATAAACACCTGTGTCATAGGAGCTAATGGCCTATTCCAAAATCATGTTAGTGGTAACCTAGTGACCAGGATTTTCCAATTTGTCTGTGTAGCAACTTAGCTTTTTTTTTTTTAATTCCCCTTATGATTTCCTAGTTAAAATGGGGTACATGTCTCTTATTCTGTATTAATAAGTTTAATGGGAAGGGCATGTTGCTGTGAACAAATAGAATATATTTGTCTCTTTTAATCATTAATAATTAATTTTCTGTTAAAGTATTGAAGCCTAAATTCTCATAAATCCAAAAGTTTATGCTGAGTTTTGCCTCATTTTATAATGTGAAGGTTGACATTGAGTCTAGGTAGAATTTTTTACTTCTTCTAGATCAAAGTCTTTATTTTTAGAATTGGAGCCTGGTCAGATTTGGTGGTGACATAATGAGAAACCAAGAAAGGTTGTGTGTAATCACTAACTAGAAGAGATTCTCAGACAGGGAGCCATTAAAAGGGACTTTAAAAAGATCAGGATTTGTTGCATTAGTTTTATGATTTTTGTTTCAATGCAGGTAGTAGGAATTAACTGGTGATTCACTTATTTAGTAAATACCTTGCTTCTTCTGTACTTGCAATAGGAAATAATACTAGGAACAAACCATGAATTGAATGTGTCAGGAACCACAAATGAGGTTTGGTGGTACACAGGGTGGTATTATTCAGGGTTCTACTGGCAGGGAGAGGGTTTATTTCCATTAAATGCCAAGGGTTAGTACTTTTAAGTTAGCTCTGCTAATTTAAAAATATATTAAATATTTGAAACATCTGGAAACAGTTGGACAAAGCCCAGCCCTCATTTATACATAGAATTAACAAGCATGAGGAAATGTTTAAGTAACTACTAATAAAATAATGCTGTATAAAATTAGGAGATATTGTCATACAGATTTTAACTTCTAAATTATACCATTTATTGCTTCTTGGTTGCAATAAAATTGGCATATCCCACATTGTAGTATGTATTGGTACAATACCTTGAAAAACAGTTGTTGATTCATTAATGCCACTGAAATTTTATGCTAAGAAAAAAAGAGCGAAGTGTAGAAAATATTTATTGAAGTGTTATTTACAGTATTGAAAAATAGGAAGCAAGTAGGTTGAAGAATGGATAAGTATGGATAATGTTCTTTTGTGAAATGTATAAAATTACCTAAACACTCATCACTGACATCAAAAATACATGCTCAGGGATTTAACAGTGACAGTATTTGACTTAGGTTGCTGAGAATGTGTGATTTATTATACCTTCTTACAGTGGGCTTTAATGTAATGATTTTGTATCTTAAAATAGTGAGTGTAAATTATTTGTTCACTGAATGAACATTTACTGCCAAGCCTGGCTTTTAACTGGTGATTATTATACTTATTTTTAGACATTTCTCTTGGGCAGTTGTGCTTCTGACAGGAATATAGTATTATATGATATGAGGCAAGCTACTCCTCTGAAAAAGGTGAGTTTCAATTTAGCTTCCACTTTATACTATTGTTAATGCATTCCTCTGTAAACTGAGTGGTTGAAAATGTGGAACAAATGTTTTTTTCAGAATTAAGAAAAAAAATTTATAGAGATTTTCATAGAAACCAAAGCCATCATAGTGTTATTCTCTCATCTCCCTGCTGCTTTTTTTAGAGACCCTTAAATTTCCTCTAGTTACTGTATCCTAGTTTTTATGTCTTCTGTAATGCTTGTAAGTTTTAGGCATCTAGATCTTACGAACTGAAAGTTCTTAAAAGCAGTGCTGCTTCTATTACTTCAGACCCCACGATTATTATATGAGTTATACATTATTTTATTTAGAAAGTGTTGTAACTGATTGACTTCAGCAGCTTTATTTGCTTAGTTACATGCTGAGGTTTGACGTTTTATTTAGACAAGGCCTATCCTGTTCAAGGTGACAGATTTCCCAACAGTTCTAAGGTAGTTATTCCAGGATTTAGGTATCAAAGCTAATACAACCTTAGGTTGACATTCAAGAGAAAATATTATCGGTGAAGGGAGGAGTGCCATTATAAATAAAAGGATATAAAGTTGATTTCAAATGCTGGAACTATGATTATAGGAAAGAGACACCATTCCTGCACTATTAGTCCATTGTCAGAGTCCACAAGTAAAAGAAAAGCCTTTAGTACTTTTCTTACTCCTAAATCACTGTTAAGACATGTTATCAGATATCTAGAATATATTTATTCTATAAATTTCTGATAAAATTCTATTTATCAGTTCAGTGATGTTTGAACTGATAAATATGATAATCTTTCTAATGTACCACTTGAATCATTTCACTCATTCATGTGATACAGTAGGAAGATTCTACATAAACTGGTGTTAGAATTTAAGCAGGCAACTTATGGTCTGTTTCTCTAATAAAATGGTGATATTAGTAACTACTTTATAGCACATTAGGGAGATTAAAACAGGGTACTTTAAGAATTTAGCAAAATGCTTAAACATGGAAAATAATTTATAAATAGTAGTTTATGCTCCCTCTCCTCCTACCCCTCCTCCCATTCTCAATATTTGGTAATGTTGCATTACTTTTGACTTGACTTTCAACACCCTCAAAAATCTGGTTCCAGGTTGTTTTCCTTTTACTTATTTGTTGCATTCAGTAAGGCAATGTTTTCTATTATTTCTTTGTTCTAGCTGCTAAGCTATTGATGTTTCTTCTATCTTTTCTCTCCTAAATGTAGTAGTTCTCAATCAGGAGTTGTAGTACCTTACCAGTGAACTTTTCTGAAATGTGGGAGGCTGCTTCTTGCTATTAATGGGCAGAAGCTTGAAAGACTGAATATCCTACAATGGACAGTTACACGCAATAAAAGATTATCTTACGCAAAATGCCAGTAGTGTTCCTCTTGAGAAACATCATAATATTCTAGTCATTTCAAATTATGCTTAGTTTTTGAAACCTCTTAGAAGACAGGATGATCGGGGAAGAAAGAATAAATGTGAAATCCAAAATTTATCATGAATTATAACAAAAGTAAACAAAATTTTAACAAAGATAAATGTATTATTTAATAAATCATGACCAAATATACTCATTGATGTTTTTGATGGGATCAGATATCAAGGACCTTTTGATAAGAACCAGATGTCTCAATGGCCATTTTGGGCTGAACCAAATGTCCACCAACCTTTGAAACCTTTCTTTATTTTAACCTTGAGCTCATCATTAAATTGTTTGGTACTTAGTCATTTACTGTTTCATTGTTTATATTTTAACTTTTCTATGTATGCCTCTTTTTCCTGACTAAATTATATGTTATTTGAGGCCAAAGAACCATGTTTTAAGCATTTTTATGTTTTTCAATATTTACCACTCTGTATATTCAGAAACACTTGTGGATTGATTTTTTTCCACCTATTTCACTGAACTGAGTTCTGTGAACATAATATTTACTAAATATTTGCTAAGTCAGTAAAAAGAGAAAGAAAGGAGGGCATCCTTGGTGACACAGGGGTTAAAGTCTCACTCAGCATTATCAAGCTATCACCAGCTACTGCAGCCTGAGTTCAATCTCCGGCCGGGGAACTAACCCACATGGCACAGCAGACCTCTCCTGTCTTGCCTGCTGCTCCCCTCAGCAGTGTATTTCAGTAGATCTGCCTGTTCTGTTCCCCACTCTGTCTCTGGTGAGTCCTCTACCCCCGCATCTCTGTCCTATACCCCGGTTCTTGTGTTCATAAATAAATAAAAATAAATCTTTGAAGTGGGAAATGTATCCACTTTAGAGGTAATTAATTGCATGGAGGTTAATACAGACTTCTTTCTCAGGTCATCTTAGATATGAGAACAAATACAATTTGTTGGAATCCTATGGAAGCTTTCATTTTTACTGCAGCAAATGAAGATTACAAGTAAGTTTCCCTCTTTAATACTCCTATCAGAAATAACTAGTTATATGTCTTACTAATGAAATATGTTTTGCTAGGTAATATTCCTTAATATACAAATTAGAAAACTATTGTTGATTTTGCTTAAGGGAAAAAAAAAAGTTTTCCAAATTGGAGAACTTCTTAGAAAAGCATTCTTAATTTTCAAAATGATATAGACCAGAGATAGTAAGCTATACCCTGTGGCCAAAATTCATCTGTTTTTATAAATAAAGTTTCTTAGGATATAGTCAAACCCGTGTATGTATTGAATATGGCTACTTTTGTACTATATGTAATACCTGAATTGAGGTAGTTGAAATAGACCATATGGCCCACAAAGCCAATAGTGCTTATTATCTGGCCTTTTACAGAAAAAGTTGACTGATATTTGACATGGACCATCCAGATAATAACTGAAACATACGTGTTTTAATAGAAACTAAAATTTATGCCTACAAAATTTGTAGCTCTGTAGGTAGCTGGTTCTCATATATAGTCATGTTATCAACTATCAGTATTACCTCAAAATACAGTTTAAATTTTACCTTAATGTTTGCACACATATTATTCTGTGACTCATGTGAAGATGACTTTGCTGCCTTATGTTTTTGACTTGGGTAATTTTATAATTTCTTATATAGTGCTTTAAAACTTGTTGATGACATCCGCATTGGTTTCTTATTTTATCTTCTCAGTATCCCAGTAAGTGGATAGGAAATGTTACTCCCTTTAAGAGATGAAGACATTGACTCAAGAGAGTTTAATACTTTAGTGAGGAGTGTCTTATTCATCTTTTTTTATTCAAAGATTTATTTTAGTACTATGTGTATGGTATATTCTTGATACTTTTTTTGTTTTTTTAAGTAGGTTTAGGTTTGTCATTGATTGAACTTTAGGTCTTCTGTGTTTCAAAGTTCTATGTTCTTTCCACTACTATTACTTATGTTTTCATAGTAGTATTAGCTCATAAATAGGATTTATTGCGTGACATTTTAGTAGTAACAATTAAAAACATCTATAATGACTTCCTGTAACTAAAAGCTCGGTTATATCCTCATTAACTAGCAATACCAAACCAAATTAATTGAAACTTTTAGTCTTTATTGGTGTTTTGAAATTAAATGGCCTTGTTCCAGTTAGAGGAAGTAAAAGAAAGTCATGCTGACCAACCTTATTAAGCTTTCTAATTAACTATTTTGGCTAACTAGAGTTTTTTCAGAGTATTCCTGGAATTTCTCATTTTTTGCTTTGGAAGAATTACTTATAGCAACTGAAACAGATTACTTTCCTTGTATGAAGTGACTGTTAAGAGTACCACAAAAAAAAAAAAAAAAAAAAATACCACAGTTTGAAAATGCCCTTGCTGTGATACTCTTTTTCTATATTTTTAATATTTTCCTTTATTACCCTTTACATAGTCTATAATAATTCTGAATTAGAAACCCAACTTCAAGTCTAGGTCCAACCCCAGTTACTGCTGTAGAAATTTGGAAAAATCGTTTAAACTAATGCTGTGCCATGCTTTCATCAGTAAGAGTGTTGGAATAGATGTCCTTAATGAATCCTTTAACTTGAAATGTAAACATTTTCCTTCTAAATGGATTGATTTGCTTGGGATTTAAATAAATTCTCATCTTTTTCTCAAAGAAATGACAAAATTTACTAAAAAACAGTTTGCTAAAACAAACATGATTGACACCTGTGCCCTCGATAGGGAATTAAAGTTGTTAATTCAGAAATTTAACCTCAAAAATCTGTATGCGGGCCTCCCCGGTGGCGCAGTGGTTGAGTGCTGGGTTGCGAAGCTGCCCGCGGCCTCTGCAGTGCCGGTTCAATCCCCGGCTGCTCCCCAGCCACCGGAGGAGGGTCCTGCATGGCGTGCAGACCTCCCCTGCTGCCCGCTGCTCCCCTCAGCAGTGTACTTTGGTCCTTCTCCCTGCTCTGCTCCCTTCTCTGGCTCTGGTGAATTCTCTCACCCTCCTGCGCTTCTGACTGTACCCAGTGCTTGTATAAATAAATAAATAAAATAAAATAAATCTTTAAAAAAAAAAAATTTGTATGCCCTGGACTGACAATCCTGTGCAATGTTGGAAGGTTTGAAAATGAACATCACTTGCCTTTTGGTGAAAGCTTTGTGGTAGTTGGAATATTTTGTTATTAGCATCATTAATCTTAGCATCTTAAAGTGTTTTGGTGTTAGGAACTTTGTCAAGTTATGCTTACTCACGTTGACTCTTTTGAAATTCTGTTCTGTTAGCTGTCAATTTAAGAATTTTTTAATCTTGGAAAATTATGAAGCATCGATTTTACAAACTTCACAATGTACAATTTTATAATTTTAGTACAATCTTTAGAAAAACCATGCTTACTATCACTGATAGGAATATAAATTAGTATAACTTTTATGGAAATGATACTTGCCTTTAGGCCGGCCAAATAATTTTACTTATCCAGGTCAAATGGAATCTAACCTATTAAATTAAAGATTGATTGTTAATAGTTCAAATATTGGAATTTTGTTAGCCAATAGTTTTTATAAATGTTGGATATTTGCATTAAAATTGTTCTTTAACTATTAGGGAAAAAAAGACTAAAAGTATCAAAAGACTGTTTGCATTAGAATAATGTTAGGCTGACAAGAGTTTAAATGATATGCAAACAATAAAAAAAGAATTATTTATATTAATAAAAAGTTGGAAACTATTCAATAGGGAAAGAAATATTTTAACTTAAACATAAGACTATTAAAACATTTTCAAAAACTATCTGAAAGATACCTGCTCATAATAGGCTATATGAAATATCAATATAGAGCTTTGTGTTACCTCTATTTTTTAGCAAATTTTTAAAAAGCATGGTGAAAAGATTAAAAATAATTACAATGCACTGACTCTCTGGGTGATAGAATTAAAGGTAATTTAATGTTTTTTATAAATTTCCATATTATATAATATGTATGTTTATAAGGAGGAAAATGTGTTAAGTGTAATCTTAAATAAGAAAGTGTTATTTTTCCCTACCCCTTACCTGCTGAGTAAAGAATTAAATTCTTTAAAGATGTGCATTATTTTGCTAGGAATCTTATGTTGCCTAGTGTGTCTTAGTATTATAAATGCTGCTTCCTAGAAATTTGTATGAAATAATTTTAAAATGCTTTACAGTTTATATACTTTTGATATGCGTGCACTGGACACTCCTGTAATGGTACATATGGATCATGTATCTGCCGTGCTTGATGTGGATTACTCTCCCACTGGAAAGGAGTTTGTGTCTGCTAGTTTTGATAAATCTATTAGAATCTTTCCTGTGGACAAAGGTCGAAGCAGGTAGGTCATTACCAGTAAACTATTTTTGTTTGATTTTTCCTTGTCTTGATCATCATTTTATAGTGTGGTTATGTGTCTCTGATGAGGCTTATCCCCAGATATTGTGACTTTGAATACCACCTTCCACTGTATCATCTCTGTTATTTTTGTGTTAAAAGCAAACTTTTTAAAAATAAAGGTATTTTATTAGCAGTTTAAGATTTACAACAAAATTGAGAGATACTTAATCTCCATCTACCCTTCACCCTCACACATGCATAGCATTTCCAAGTATCAGCATCACTCCCCAGAATAGTACATTTGTTACCAAGAATGAGCCTACATGGACATGTCATCATCACTTAAAAGCCATTCTTTACCTTAGGATTAACTCTTGGTGCTGTACTTTCTGTGGGTTTGGACAAATATATGATGGCATAGCCATTCTAAAAATATAAAGAATATTTCCATTGCCCTAAAATATAGTAAACTTTAAAAAAAATCTAATTTGATAGTGAAGAACTTAGATAAGTTTTGCCCTAAAAATAGTTTAGGACCATTTAACAAATAATACCTTATATATGCTGTCTCTTATTTCCATAAATTCAGCTCTTAGACAATAGGCAGAAACAAAAAAGAGAAAAATAGCAGTTTAAATTGTCAGGAACAGTCTCCTTCCATTCCTCATAGGAATGGAAGAATGAAGAAGAGGCAGGAGATATGAATACTCAGTTGTCTGTACTCTGTGTGTTCCATTCTGTAAGCACATTGAATGTGATTCTAGAGTTTAAGGCATGTTTTTTTATACAGCTTGTCTGTCCTTTTACCACATTACTGAATGTAGTTTATATACATCATGTTACAGTATATCATAAAATATATAGAAAACTGTGGCATTTTAAAACCTAATTCCTGACTCACTAGCTTGCTGTGCCAGTAGAGTCAGGAGTAGGAAGAGATAAGGTGAGATACTCAGGAAACAATTTAAGAAGTTACTCATTCTCAGCATTGTGCTAGTGCCAATCCTGTACCTGTACCACCCTAAGAGTGAGGGCTTCCTTAAACTTTATACCAAAGGCCTCTTACTTGCCTCCTCCTTGAGCCAAACAGCTTACCATAGCTTTTTTGGTCATAGTTTGCTTATCTAACTCCTTGGTGTTTTCACTCTTGATGGTTACTTATTTCTTCCTTCTGATTTGAGGAAGCCTTATTAGTTCCTAAACCACCTTGTATCACCATTGATTGTTGGCAGATAAATGTCATCATCTCTGTATATCTGATTAAAAAGGTACTTGAATCCAAAGCATGTTGACTGTGTACTGATGACTAATCTTTTTTCCATCATCTCCTTTATAGAACTCTTGTATATTGGTTTCTGTATAACTGTTGCTTCCTTTTCAACTAATTAGGTATTCTCCAAACCATCATGAATGGTTTGTTAGGATTATTCATTCAAGTCCAATGCAAGTCTGAATGTTTCCATTCATCTCACCTCTCTAGAAAATATCAAGGGAATGTTTGTTGCCTGCCATTATTTGTGCCAGGCCACTGAAGGCAGTAAGACAATATTTTTCTATCATGATGCATAAGCAGCCATAGGAAAAGACAAAGAGTAAGAACACTGGAAATGTTTAGGTACCTGTGATCCAAAGGATCCAGCAGCTGAGTTCAAGCTAAATTATTTCAAAGCTAAAGTGGGCAGCTGAATGCAGGTCTAGCTAAAAAAGTTCAAACTATCCCAAAATTACATGAAGTGAGGAGATCTTACATCCCTTTCAGGGAGTTATCTCCTGATGTCATTTGTAGTTTTTGTAATCAAAATTTCGGTATCACATACTAAGTTCTTGCTGTTGGATTACTCTGCCATTCCCTTATGCCTTTGCCTTCATATGCTTAAAAACTAGTTCCTATGGTCTGTTCTAGTTTCCTGTAAACATCAAATAGCATAGGCAATGCTTTGAGTAATCTGTATTTCAAAAATATTTTCCTTTGAAAGACCTTAAAATGGTTAAAACAAATTTGAGTAGATTTTATTAAATTTATAGTTAAACTAGTATTTAAAAATAGGCTTCTATTTGGGATTTCATTCATACTTAGTATGGGATTTCATTTATACTAAGTAAACAAGTAAATCAGTTGCATGCACATGGAATAATTTATTTTTAACTCCTAAAAGACTTATAAAAATTTTTAATTTATCTCCTCTAATAGTCTAACTTTTAATGAGCTTTTATAACACTGTTGTGTGCAATCATGACCATACCTAGAAGTTAAGAATATTGCATAGTTTACCACTATAGAGGATTCTAAGTTGGTTAAAAGACTGATTTGAGTGGTCTAAGGCAAGAAGGTTATTTTTAATGGCTACCAAAGCCTTACTGAATTGCCTGTGATTCAAAATCATTATGCTGCTGGGCCTCCCCGGTGGTGCAGCGGGTTGAGCCCAGTGCTATGAAGCTGTCCACAGCCTCTGCAGCATGGGTTTGATTCCCGGCCAGGGAGATTACCACATGGCGTGGCAGACCTCTCCTATCGTGCCTGCTGCTCCCTTCAGCAGTGTATTTCGTTTGTCTGACTGTTCTGCTCCCTGCTCTGTCTCTGGTGAATCCTCTCACCCTCCCGCGCCTCTGGCCTGTACCCCAGCTCTTGTATAAAAATAAATAAATCTTTAAAAAAAAATCATTATGCTGCTATGTGGAAAAGAACCTCATAAATAAGCAGTGATTATAAGAAATGAATCTAAAAAAGAATATTGAGAGAAGAAAAATTCTGTCTCATCTAGTTTTTATTGTAATAGATTAATCTTTCTAACCATCCTCCTTAGAAATGAATTACTAATGGTTTATCCATGTTCATTCAGGATATCAAAATTTATCAGTTAAAAACTGAGTTTTTATGAGTGTATTTCAGACATTTTTTAATAGATTTGAGTTGTGTTTGATTTAGTCATTCTGCATATATTTTTTACTCAGTGTAGTTTGCTGCACTTGTTTCCTTTCTCTCAAGTTGTCTGAATTTTGTATCATAAATGTAAATATGGGAAATTTATTTCTCCAGAAATGTGGTGGGGTTTTTTTTCTGACCTTCTCTTTTATTTGCTTTTTAATGTTCTTCTTAACACATCCCAATATAGTATCTTCTGTGAATTCATTTAGCATGTTTCACAACCTTTCCAAATAGGTATGATATTTGACATCTCCATCTATTAAATGATTCTTACCTCAATTCACAGATACTTCTATAGCTCTCTTTTTTTCCACATATGTAAATCATCAGCTCTCACTTCAATTAATTAAACTTTTTAAACAGTTCTACCAAAACAAAAATCAGATATTAGGATCAGTATATTAGGATGTGCACTTGGGATGTCACTGCATTTACTATTTTTTTCAGTAAAAGAAGAGAAAATGTGGCTGTTGGTCTGCATTTATTTGGGGGGAGAGGGCCTTATTAAAATAATCCATTTCTTGTTGGTACAGAATTACTCTAGCTTTAATGTATTTTATTTATTCAGTTAGTGAAATTTTCTGGACATCTCTTTTTCCTTTGTTCATAGTTATTTTTCTTATTGGGTTGTTACTTCTTTGAGGGCAGGCATTTTTTAAAAACTCGCCAGCTTTTAACATAGAACCTCACTAATGACACGAAGTTGAATTTCCCTTTTATGCTCTTAGAGCTAAAAAGTGGTATCCTGTTAATTTAATAGGCAGTGATTAAAGAAAATCTGTCCAAAATTGTAAGGTTCCTAATTTAATTCCCTCTTCCATAGGGAAGTCTATCACACAAAGAGAATGCAACATGTTATCTGTGTAAAATGGACATCCGACAGCAAGTACATCATGTGTGGATCTGATGAAATGAACATCCGCCTGTGGAAAGCTAATGCTTCTGAGAAATTGGGTGTGGTAAGAGGCTCCATTTTCTCCCATTGTTATAGAACTAGTTTCTAATTTTATTGACTATATGTTACAAAGAATTTATTTGAAGTGCTGTAGATTTTTTGATCAAAGTGGCATAATTTTGATAAAAAGGAATAAGTCAGCAACAAAACAGACAAGGCTGTGCTGAGATTTACTTCGTTCATGTCAGAGGCACTTCAGAGGCCTTTGTCAATTCAGATATTTGATAATATTTGAACATTTTTGATTTTTTAATATGTTCCTTGAGGTTGGGAAAGATTGTAGAGACTAGAAGCTTAGAACTTAGAATGCCTGTTTCTTCTGTCCATGGCATAATAATAAGGCAAATCAAAAGGTGCAAGTCCCAGTGAGGTCTTAATATAAGAGACACAGTGAAGTACTTAAAAAAACAACACAGTCTTTGGGTGTTTCAAAACCTATTCCAGTGTGTATTTGAGATGAGGGGTGGGGTGTTCTCTACATAATCAACTAGCAATGCTCAGTGTCTGAGTATTCAACTCAATTCTGACACTATCTACCCAGATACAGTATCAGATTCCACAAGTTAGGAGCTCAGTGCTACAAGACTATCCTCCCCAACATTCCTCCTCACCCCCAGCACATCTATCCTATACATATACTTCTGATGCCAGTCACAATAATACATGCTTTTGACCCACAGCTATGGATTGGAGGTTCTAACAACCCACTCTTTGGACTTCAGACATTAATTACAAGTTCATATTGTTACTTGTTTCTGACCAGTTGGCTATACCACACCTCCTCCTTAGGTTCCGTTAATTTACTGGAGTGGCTCACAAAATCAGAGATACATTTATTTGTTAACTTCCCTGTTTATTATAAAAGAATTTAACTCAGGGACAGCCAGTTGGAGAAGGTGCTTAGGGCAAGGATTGGGGAAAGGTAAACGGCTTCCATGCCCCCTCCAGGTGCACCTTTCTTCTATCTATTCACCAGTCTAGGAGCTCTCTGAACCCTGACCTTTGTGTTTTTACGGAGATTTCAATACATAAATATTTTTGATAAAATCACTGGACATTGGCAATTGATTCGATCTTACCTCTCTTTCTCCCCTCCCAGGAGGTGCAAGGTGGTGGATGGAGTGGGAGGCTGAGGACCGGCTACAATTTGTAGCCATACGATGTGCCCCCATCCTTAGATTATATAGGGGCTTTCCAAAGGTGACCTTGTTGACATGACAAAGACACTTTACTGTCCTCATCTATTAGGAAGTTCCTAGGGTTTTCAGAGCTCTGTCAGAAACAGGGACTAAGAGCTTTATTTATTATAAATCAAAATTATCTCAGAAAACTTCAGATTCAAATTAATTCAGTGAAAATAGAACAAATGCTATCATTCCCTAGCTACCCCAAGATTGTGGGCATTATAGTTGATTCTTGTTTTGTTTTTGATATGTTTCTAATTGTCTCAACTTTTCTATACAAAACCTAAAGTGTTTATATCAGGAACAAATAATAAGTTTAAGAAGGAAAGATTAAGTGAGTGTGTTATTTTCTACATATCATATCAAGATAAGATATGTAATTATTAAAGAAAGGCTATTTTAGATTTAATGATTGAGTTGTATTACTCTCTGCACAGGTTTCAGTTCATCATAAATTCATCATAAAAATGTATTCCTCTAAATCATATCATCCTTAACATTTATTAAACAAAGGCTAGTTACTGCAGAAGCTAATATATTTCCTTTCTATATCAGTTGTTTTACAAAAACAGTTTTGGGTGATTAAATGCTTTTTTCTGTGTTACTTATTTACACCGAGGGAAGGTTCAACTCAGTGGCCCACATAGACATACTCCCTTATTCCAGCTGTGTTTCATTTCATGGCACATGGGGGTGATGCTATCTCAAAGGAAGCTTGGTGCACAGAGTATTACTATTGTGTTAGTATTACTAACACAACCTGTATAATGTAGAATTAGCACTGGTAGCTTTGGTGGCATGCCATGAAAGTTTTTTGGGGACAATACAATATTCATTAAAATCTCAAAATGCATTTTTTTTTTTCAGCTTACATCACGAGAAAAAGCAGCCAAGGATTATAACCAGAAATTGAAGGAGAAATTCCAATACCATCCTCATATAAAGCGTATTGCTCGTCACCGACATCTACCAAAATCTATCTATACCCAGATTCAGGAACAGCGTATCATGAAAGCAGCTCAACGACGAAAGTATGTTTTGGGGCACTTGATTCTCAATACCCTTTTCTAGCTCTGCCCTCTCATCTCACTGAAACAAACAAATCCCTGTCTTTTAGGAAATAGTTTATATGCTGTTATGCATTGGAATGGTTTTGGAAGACTTTTCTGGGCTCTTTTTCTTGATAAAAGAGGGGGCAATGATCATTTGAGATGGTGATAATTTCCATTACTTATTTTTGAGAATATGTCTGAAGCACATGAAATTGTGATAATTTCCATTACTTATTTTTGAAAATATGTCTGAAGCACAAACAGTGAAAATGTTTGTTGTTCAGAGTAAGAAGATGTGTATATTAAAAAAAAAAAATTATTGGGCCTGCCCGGTGGCGCAGCGGTTGAGCGCTGGGTTGCGAAGCTGCCCGCAGCCTCTGCAGTGCCAGTTCGATCCCCGGCTGCTCCCCTGGCCACCGGAGGAGGGTCCCACATGGCGCGCAGACCTCTCCTGCCGCCCGCTGCTCCCCTCAGCAGTGTACTTCGGTCCTTCTGCCTGCTCTGCTCCCCGCTCTGGCTCTGGTGAATTCTCTCACCCTCCCGCGCTTCTGACTGTACCCAGTGCTTGTATAAACAAACAAACAAATAAATAAATCTTTAAAAAAAAATTATTGTAGGCAGATAATGTTTTAAAAAATGATTTCTAGTATAGCTGGAATGAAGAGGTATATATTTTTTCCAAGTTAAAGACTGTAAAAAACTAGTAGCATACATATCTTAAATAAACATTTCTCTAGTATGTGTCATCATAACATTTGGAATCTAAAGCAGAGTTATTCCCACCACTATTTCCCCTGTGGAATATTCTATTTGGAATCCTTGAATTCATGTAAAGTATTTCTATAAGATTGAGTTTTCTTTTTTCTTTTTTGTGATTAAATTAATAATCATTAAAAAATGATTATTATTTTCCTGTCTTTGGATAGCTATTGGAATTGAATTAAATATTTTAATAACTGGCAGATTTTTCAACTTAATAAAGGAGAGATTTATATAGAAGAGAAGAAACATATAATTAGCAAAAGTTAATTTCCAGCTACGTTTTACAAATTATTCTCATTGCGAAAGCTTTTTTTTAAATAGGTAGTTTTCCAGCAAAATGTTTTTATTTTTGTGATAAAGCTTTTTTAGTTAAGATGATTTCTCATACACTTGCTTATACTTTATATATTTTGTTTATTTCTAGGGAAGTGAATCGTCGCAAACATAGCAAGCCTGGATCTGTGCCAATTGTGTCAGAGAAGAAGAAACATGTAGTGGCAGTTGTGAAATAATATTTGGTACTCCTACAAATCCTGCTGTGTAATTATGTGTTCCTCTTTGATAAGCAAACTGTATGAAAAAGTACTAGCTCTGGTATAACAACACACATTTTAGTTATCTGTGTAGAGCTTTATCACTGTTCATTTTTGCTACCTGGGTGATAAAGAGTGTCTAACATTTTGGCCTTGATCTGCTTTCTTTCTTTATTGAAAGATAAGGTATTTGCAAACGCTCTTATTTTTGCTGTTCGAAATTGTAGACATACTTTCACGTGATCTATTATTATAGATACTGTACATTGAATATACATTAAAGATCAAGCATCTTTTTTGTTATCTTTAATACAACTTCAGATAAGCACTGTGATGATTCCATATGATATTCTTCCATATAGAGAATTATGTCAGAACTTCTGATTGATTTTCTGTGCTTTATTTATTATATTTGACTTTTTAAGATTATAAAGATCATCAACCTGCATTTATATAATCTTTATAAATAATGTAATTTATAGTCAAGATAATAAAACATCCTTTTTCTCTGCATTGTATCTTTGATCATTTCTGCTAAATAATTTTTCTTCAATCTCAGCTAATCATAAATAGTTTTGTGGGATGCTAATCCTTGTTTCTACTTCTCTTTTCAAAATAGAATGATCAGCGAGCTTGGAGGGACAGCCAAATAACCTTCATCTGGAGGGAATTGTAGAAACAGTAAAAGCATGGTGTCCTTGAGGCAAAATAGATGGGCATCCAGTGAAGGTACACCTTGACATCTACAACCAGAAAAAGGCAAGAATGGGGGAGTTGCCATTTGCCAAGTCAGCAGTTGCATACTGTGTACCTGAGCGCTAGCAACATCTGCTGTAACAAAATTACTGTCCAACTGGGATCAGGGCTCTTTTGACTGCATGCAGTAGTCTGCATTATAGTAATTCTCCAGAATCCATCTGGTTTGTAGAGAAGTCAGACTGGCATATTAAATGGAGATATGAAAGAGATCACACCTGCTCTCCTTCTGTCTTTTAGGTCTGCAATGGTAGAGCTGATCTCCCCTATCCTACCCACCCTAGAAGTAATAATGTTTTGATTTACTTCTTGCTTGGGGGAATGAGGTAGAAAATAAAAAGTTTCTACTCGTTTTTCCTCACTGTCACAACTCTTATCCCACAGTTCAAGGACACAATGTGGTGGTTATTGCAATTATATAAATTCCTGGTTATGCATCTGGGAACTGAAGAAACAAAATCGAACCTAGTGAGTCTACCAACAGTTAAACTGTAGGTAGGTCTGCATCTGTTTATTGGTCTCAATAAGTTGCCATTCTAACAGGAACATGTGACTCTTCAAACCTTTGGGAATCAATATCACCTCAATCTAGTCTTTGAAATACCTGGGTATTCCCTATTCCCCAATGAATAGTTAGTTATCTGAGTAAATAGCCAATAGCCATAGATCCTTTTGAGAATCCACTGTAGCATTTATTTACTATGGTTTTACAACGTTTTCCCTCTTTGGGCTTGAGTCCTTTCTTCAGTCTGTGGTTCCCGATATGAAAAATGAGCTCAGGTCCAGTAACTGAGCAAAAGGTTGTGCCTTTCTATTATAACTATTCTTGACCCTCCTACTCCTTGATTCTTGCCTTCCTCTGGTTGTTGATGTCAAAGGGTACCTTCACTAGATACCCATCTACTTTGCCTCAAGGACACCATGCTTTTACTGTTTCTACATAGCTCCTACAGATGTAAGCTATTTGGCTGCTCCTCCAATCTTGATGATTGGTGTGACTTTTTGGCTCTTTATAGTTAAACACCACCACCTACCCCCAATAACTGGTGTATGTTTGGAAGTATGGGTGTGATCACCATGGATTTTAATGAACCCAGTTCTGTGACTGTCTCTCCGACCATTACCTTTACCTTACAAAGGAGAAGAGCAGTGGACTTTTTGACAATGTTAGTGCTCCTCTCACAATCCATTCCCACTGACCCTGGTGAGTGGTATGTCTTCTAGGCTTTCCCATGGGACAAAACGTGATATTCTTACTTTATATAATAAATCCACTTAGGGTACCTGCTTCCTTCAGCTCTTTATTTCTTCCTCAGCAGGCTGCCAGGGCAACACAGGTGTCTCAACTTTGCTCAACCTTGACCATCCCTTTCTCCAAGCTTCTAAGAACTACCCTAGCAGTGAGTTTGCCTTATCCACTATGGTCCTTTCAGGGTACTAAATCCCTCGACATAAGAAAATGCCCCCAATTTCCATGTAGTATTTTTTTTTTCGGTGTTGTATTCCTCCCCCTTGATCAATCTCTGAAAATCCAATCCCACAAGTACTCCTCTGGCTTCTGAAAATATACCCGAGCTAATTTTCACAACTCCTTTGGTATGTGATTGCTTTCCTCTCTTGTTAGGCCCACCATATCCCTAGTTAGGAAATGTTGCAAGTTAAGTCATTATTGATGAGCAGCCCAGAGTGTAGGTGGGGAGTACTCCAAACCCTGTTGCCTTTCAGAGGAAGAGCTCTATGTGATCTTTTCACTTGGGAGAAGTGCTAGCTCTTACTCTCCAAGCTCTAGAGTTCAAGGAGATGTGTAGTGCCCAATTCCTTTGGAACATACTTAGAGATCTCCCAGCCCAGTTCTGGTGTTTTCCCTACCAGAGGAATGTCCTTAGCATACAGACTTATAGATTGGCTGAGCATTTGAATGTCTTAGTTCTGCAACACTCATTATCAAATCCTGTGTCTGCTGTTCAACTTTGCACTTTCATTGAATAAGGTAAGGACTTACTTATAAACTAACAAAGACTTTTTGGGATTTTGGTTCACACCTTTTCAGATGTATGTTACCAAACTCACCACCGAAGCACCATCATCCTCTACCAAAGTCCATTGGACTCCCCCATCCTCCCTTAAGGTAGCCTCAGTTCTGCAGTTAGATTTCTAAGATTCCTTTTGGTTTGATGTTGTTCCTTTGCTCTGTTTTTTTTTTTTTTATATTCCATATATGTGTAAAATCATCAGGTATTTGTTTTTTTCCTTTTGATTTACTTCACTAAGCATAATGCCCTCCAGTTCTGTCCATGTAGCCTTTAATTTTTAATGGATTTCAGTTTCTCATTTCTCTGCAGGGCATCAATACAGCTTAGTAACCAGCTGAACAATCTTTATAGGCATTGTGCCCCTCCTGCTTTTCAAATGCCCAATCCTACCTGCAAGGATAGTTCCCTCTATCAGGACACTTTCCTCGATTATGACCACTGAAATCTTTAGCAAATAGGCCACTCAGGATGTGAACTTTGTTAACAGCCAAGCAATTGAGTAAATCTCTCTCCAAACTCCATTGAATTGCTCCTGGTATCACCTAATTCTCTTTGATACTCTTGGAACAGATGCCAAAGCACAGTTAGAGAGGCAAGAGATTTATTGGAGAGAACCGTATGTAAAAAGATAAAGGGGAGGGAGCAGGAGTAGGCAGCCTTCTGTGTTATAACGACACTCTATAGGAAAGAGGGAAGAAACACCTCAGATTTCAGTTCTCAGCGAGTTTTAGCCAAGCAAATGGGGATTCCTTGAATCAAAGTGGCCCATTACTGAAGTACTGAATCCCACAGGGGCAGCACTAAGACTTCTGCTGTTTTCAGTAAGCCTGAGAACAACCAAGGAATGAGTAGCATTGGTGGGACCCTGGTGTTAGATAAGGGTGGGTACAACTGGAATTCTTAGTCAACTCTTTCCCTACTGCCCATGCTCCTGAAAGAAATCTGAGTGGCACATTTCCGTGACTGCTACAGCTACCCACTTTCATGCCTGTTGTCAGATGCTTTAATATCTATATAGGAAATTGCAGATAATTTAATGGTATACAGTTAAGATTTTACTTATTTTGAACTTAAGTGATAGTGCATTTTATTTGCAAAGTGCTATTTAACTATTCATCTTAAATGACATTAACTGTCTTGGAAGTAACTAAGAGAGAGAACCATGTCAAACTCAATACTTAGCACTGGGTATATAGTGGGTGTTCGCTAAATGTTTTTTGACATTAAACCCAAACATATGTTCTTGGTTGAATATTTGCTGATGATTTTCTTTTTAATGTATATTTTCTTGACTTAATCCTTTTTCTCCTAGTTCCTTTGCCTTTTATAAAAGTCTGAGAATGCAAAATGTCCCTATTTAAGGAGAATGCCTTCTTAAAATATATTTTATCCTGAAATACTAAGACATATTTTGTCTAAGTGCATGACTGAAAACATATTACTCAGTTTTGTTTTTTTTTTTAAAGAAATGAACTTTTTTTTTTTTAAGATTTATTTATTTATACAAGCACTGGGTATAGTCAGAAGCGCGGGAGGGTGAGAGAATTCACCAGAGCCAGAGCGGGGAGCAGAGCAGGCAGAAGGACCGAAGTACACTGCTGAGGGGAGCAGCGGGCGGCAGGAGAGGTCTGCGCGCCATGTGGGACCCTCCTCTGGTGGCCAGGGAGCAACCGGGGATCGAAGTGGCGCTGCAGAGGCTGCGGGCAGCTTCGCAACCCAGCACTCAACCACTGCGCCACCGGGGAGGCCCAGTTACTCAGTTTTTTGATGGTTCATTTACTGAACTCTCCATCATAACTTAAGTTCACCTCGATAAAAATATTTAAGCAAATTTTTTATCATCCATACCTCACCTCAGTTTGAATAAATGAAATAATTGGTTCAAATAACTGAAAATATATCCATTCATAAAAGTGAGCATTTTAAATTAGGTCAAATAGATGTTATAAAATACCTTTCTGATTTTATTGTTTTGTTGTAATCACTATAATTGGTGCAGAACCCAACTATGATTTTTTTTTTAAATTTATTTATGCATACAAGAGCTGGGGTGTAGGCCAGAGGTGCGGGGGGTGGGGGGTGAGAGGATTCACCAGAGACTGAGTGGGGAGCAGAACAGGTGGATCTACTGAAATACTCTGCTGAGGGGAGCAGCAGGCAAGACAGGAGAGATCTGCTGCACCATATGTGTTGCTCCCTGGCCAGCCAAACTCATGCTGCAGTGGCTGCTGATAGCTTGGTAGCGCTGTCTTTAACCCCTGTGCCACCAGGGAGGCCCACAACCATGATTCTTAAGGGCTGGGGTAGAGAGTACTTGGATCATGTAGTTAAGAAAAAAAAGCCCCTTGTTTCCCCCTTGCTTGATTTCTTTTTAACTATGATGCGATTTTCCTTTAATTTTTCAAAACACAAAGGAGAAACACAGATTTTTCTGCTTATTGAAGGGAATAGGAATAGGCAAGGGTTTTCAGTAGTGGAAAAATACTCGTACAGCATTCTGGCCTATCCACAAACGTTCTGACCACCTTTGAAAGTTGAGATATTTGAGGTCATCCCTTTTCATTTTTGCTTAAAGGGAGAGCTAAGGGGATGATGGAAGTCAAATGGTGACAGCGTTTACTATCTCAATTCACAGTCAAAGAAAGATGTTGATAAAAATGAATCAGCAGCATAAGCATTCAGGAAAAAAAAAGTATACAGTGATATATAGAAAAATAATACTTGGCGCATATATTGCAA